GGCTCTACTGAGGCCTTTCCATGGAGCTAGCTCTGTGGTCACGTGGGTCTGATGCTCATTAATTATACAGAATTTTAGGCTTTTAATACACTTAAACAGAAGAGTGAGAAAAAAATTCACCCCCCTCAGAGTTGTCATGAGTGTAAACTAGATCATTTAAACAAAAAACATGTTTTGGTACCAGGCTGTAAACATGTTTATTTCTGCTGTGAAATTGGTATTTTTAACATGGGAGTCAATGAGGATTTGCTCGCTTCTGACACCAGCCCCAAGCGGATGAGGGTGGAACTGCAATTTTTGGTACTTCCGAGTTGGGCTCAATTTTTGAGCCGCATTATGGGGACTTCCTCGGGCCTAATAAATAGTTAGATAAAAGCTAACCTAAATAGGTGGGTCTTGAGCCTGGACTTAAAAACATGAACGTTCTCTGCGGCCCTGAGGTCCTCCAGCAGATCGTTCCAGAGGCGAGGGCCGTAATACTGGAAGGACGCCTCGCCGTGAGTGTGTGTCCTGACTTTAGGGATGACCAGGAGACGCCTGCTAGAGGAGCGCAGAGGCCGTGAGGGTTCATATGGTAAAAGCAGTTCTAAGAGATAAGAAGGCCCAAGACCATTAAGAGACTTAAAAACCATTAGAAGAACCTTAAAATTGATTCTGAAACATACAGGGAGCCAGTGCAATGATTCTAAAACCGGTGTAATGTGTTCACAATTCTTAAATATTAACAAAACAGCTGCTGATAACTTTAACTCAGTTGTGATTAATAGGAATATTTGAACTAGGATCAATTATATTGTTGCTGAAAAATAAACACAAAAATGTGTGGATGTTGATTAAATATTAAAAAGGCTCACCATAGCCCTTGGTCTGCATTTTTATTTTTCCTGCTGAAGACGGGTCATCCTTCGGCTTGCAGACATGAACACAGGTGCACTTTATTAAATAGCTGATATTTCCATATTTAGGGACAGTTTTGCTAGTCTACCTTTTACTTTCACAAAATGCTATCACTTTTCCCGGGGCCGAGCCAGTTGTTTTTATGTAACATTTGTTGGGGTGCACACTGCCTTTAGAGCCACATAAATAAATCTTGGGGAGACGGGGTGATCACTTCCTGCTACTCTCCAATTGCATTATTTCCTGTTATTTCAGCTGTTAACTTTGTGTTTTTCTCCACAGAAGAAGCTAAACTGGTGTTCTGCTGAGCTATGGTGGCCTCATGGAGAGGGCCATCAGCTGGCACACTGCTGCCAACATAGAATGTGCTACTACTAGTTCATCCCTTGACTTAATTAAAGATTCACTCAGATAAAGATAAAGAAAGATTATCTCTTGCTAAACAGAATGTCTACTAAGAAATTACATTTATGTCATGACCCCGACAGGAGGTGTTCAAATGTGAAGGAGGGTAACATGAGAGGCATGACAGTGCATTTAAAATGGGTTTAATTGTCATAAAAGGTATAAAAAATGAGTGGGCAAACAGATGGAGAGTATTATTAAAATAATGCCAAACAAAACCTAGATGAAAAAGTTAACATTGTAATGAAGTGTTAATTACATTTAATTAAGGACCATAAGACATTAAAATTTCATATCGGGTATGAAATCCATCTTATGGACACTGGGTTATTTAAATCAGAAGATCGGATCTTTTTACTGCAGGGAATTTAGATAACACTTTGTATTAACTGAGAGACAAGAGAAGAGAGAGAGAGACCTTCAAACGTTTAAGGAAATGTATTACTAAATAATTTTAAACAATTTAACAAGACTAACTCTCTAATGATGGATGTTCTGTTTGAATGAGGTGTGAGATGGTTGGTGTGAATGAGTGTCATTCAGAACCCTCGCATCCGGAGAAACAAAGTCTGAGTGGGAGATGATGTTTTGCTCCTAACTTATCAGAGTTTGAGACTCGTAGTCATAAACACGAGACGCCATTTGTGTCGCATCCACATATCCTCAGTGAGACCTCCGTACCGATCCGGATGCCAGGTCCATGACCCTCCTTGGCACTGGAGCCGATGAAGCAGCGTCAACAGTACGACAAACCAGTCTTTGGATAGTCTCCAGGTAAAAAGCGACAGGTGTTTCACAGCGTCAAAAGGGGACCCTCCTTGGGTCAGCAAGTTCAGCTTTTATTCTGAAAGGTACCGTTCCTTGGTTGGTAACAAAACAACAGAATTTTCCCAGCTTGAATGGTTCTCAGCTTAAAAAGAGAAGTACAGATGGCCGGTCCAAACGTCACTTAACATGTGGTGAACTTCAGGGGATCTTGAGAATGAGATCTTGAGAACTGAACTTAAGATGGCGTTGGAACTGTTTTATTCATGTGGATGTTTTTGATTCTGGATGAATCAAAGCTGACAGATTTATAAACACCACAGAGACTCTGCCACGCTTCAAACTAGGAAGGTTCTAATTGGATCAGTACAGCAATGTGTCATGTGATTGTTTTCCTTATGTGTGTCGGTGTGTCTAGTGACCTAGATTAAGTCATATTACTTATTAAAACATATTAATCATAATATTGTGATTTCACAGATCGGTCACATTGTATTATTGACAAACAGTTGTTTTGATTAGCTTTATTGAAAATAGAGTTCTTTGATTTAATAAAAGAAAAGAGTCTCTTCGTCTTCTGTCTTCATTGCTGGAAAGTAAACAGTTTAGAAGCGAATGCATGACCTTGAGGCTGTTTCATGCACTCTGGCGCTGTGTCAAAGGGAACTGTGGAAAAGGTTAAATAACCTTGGAGGAGTAGCTCCTTCATCACGTTACAACATTTAGAACAACATATCTGAGCTCAGCCTAGTGTTTACTGTTGTCTTTTAATGTGTTATGTGTACGAGTGTGTGTGTGTGTGTGTCTGTGTGTGTGTGTGTGTGTGTGTGTGTGTGTGTGTGTGTGCGCGCGTGCGTGTGCGCGTGTGTGTGTGTGTGTGTGTGTGGGTGGGTGGGTGGGTGTGGGTGTGCGCCTGGGAATGGTATGTGGATTGGGATTTGTCATAAATGTTTTAAGTGTGGGAAAGGGAGGAAATGTGGGTTATATGGGTCATTTTAAACTGTTGAGCACTTTGTGTTACTTGCTTTGCATGAAAAGTGCTACATAAATAAAGATTGATTGATTGATTGATTGATTGATTGATTGATCGATTGATTGATTGATTGATTGATTGATTGATTGATTGATTGATTGATTGATTGATCAACGAGTTGTACAGTAATCGGAACGTTGCAGGTGTAGCGTAAATAATCTACATAACCAGGATTTAACGCTGTTGCTATTCAGCTTTGTTAGATTCTGAGAAAGATCAAACAAATTAGCAAATGAAGCTTATATCATGTATAAATATCCAGGATATTTATATAATCGATAGAAGTTCATACACCAATGGGCTTGATCTATATTTAATCCAAAGATTCATATTTAATTTAAGATATTTAAATTAATAGCAAAAGTTTATTTATTAAATCAGAAGACTTAAAGGAATCTTTGCTTGTTCAATAACCAAATGTACACCACCCTGTTTCATTTCAAAGAAGTCAGGTATAAAAAGTTAAGAATTTATTACTAACAATTTAAAGATGACAATTTAAAAAACAATTTAAAATGACAATTTATAACAGCTTTGGTATTAAAACTTGGTATTAAAAGCAACCTGTGTCTGGGTGAAAACTAAAATGAAATGCGTGTGTTTGGATCATCGACATAAATATTGGACAATGGGTTTCCATAGACTCCAATAACACGTTTTTGAAGAAAAATGGGAGGTGGCCATCACCGCCATTTTGACCGTGTCACAGGTTCCGTCAAGCCCAAACAATTCCACAAAAGGGAAGAGAGGTGGGGCTGTAAGGCTGGGATCAACTGACGACACCCGGTCGAACTAGCTACAAGCTAACCTGAAGCTAACCCAAAGCTAATGCGGAGGTGGGAGCTAAGCTAACGGAGGTAGCAACCTAGCTACAACCGGAGTTAACTGTGCACAACACCAGAGCTTCTGAGTCAGAGATACGCCGGGCTGACCGCTGGGTAAAACCGGGTGGAACACAGAGGTCTCCCGAGACCTCCACAAGCCGGCAGCCGCAAAGCAGACAAGCGCCGCAGCGATCTGAGATGCGCAGAGCTGGCGCTGGGGAGAACCAGGTGGAAAGGTTTCCATCCCAGAGCTCCACAAGCCGGCAGACCGCGCAGCAGACAGGAGCCGCAATCAGGCAGAGATGCGCCGAGCTGCGGGGAGGGGAGAACGGATGAAAAACAGAGGTCTCTCGAGAGCTCCACAAGCCGATAGTCGGAACCCAGCTCCACCAACATGTTATATTTCAACCCATTTTCTAAAGTGCAGCATTATGTTAAATGCACTGGGTTTTACCCTATTACATTTAATAGTCATGGTTAAATAGTACATGTTAAAATCTAAGCTCAGCTCGGCAGTGACCTAAAATACAAAAATATAATTTTACTTACCGAAAAAAAATGAAGTGGAGACTCCTTGGACGCTCTATTAGTGCAATTAATGCCACAGCAAGTAATTTTTCCCAACAATTGCTCAAATAATATCCAAAAAAGAACGCACAAACAGCACAACTAACGGTTTAAGTTGAGAGACTGAAAATCGCGGAACAGCTTTCAGGCGAGGCCAAGGCTCAGATTGAGGCCTTTCCCCGGAGCTAGCTCTGCGGTCACGTGGGTCTGATGCTCATTACTTATATAGAATTTTAGGCTTTCAATACACTTAAAGAGCAAGTAACGTCTAAATTAACTTTTTTTTGCTGATGAACTGCATAAATGAGTGTCTAATAGTGTTTTAAATGTGTGCATTCTTTATTTTAGCATTTTGGTGCATTTTCTTTAAAAATTAAAAATTCTGTCTAAAAACCACAGTAATGCACCACCTTCAGCTGAAAACATAGAATTTGAGTCATTTTGAATAAATTTTAGCCAATGGCTAAAGAGTAAAGTACTACGTAAACCAGCAGAGTACTAAATAGCAGCTCCGTGCCAAAGTTATAAAAGCAACGAGCGTCTCGGCCACGCCCTGTGGCGAGTGGGAGTTGGATTTGCAAGCGAGCGTAGGAGGTCAGCGGTAGTTCAGCATTAGCATATAGCATTAGCATATCCTAGTCTTTAGCATATCTTTTAGTGTTATAAATACTTATTTAGTGTTAGATTTGGCTGTTGGATATTGTAGTTTAGTTAGTGTTTGGCTGTTAGTGTAATTGGGAAAGTAGTTCGGGTTTAGTGCTCCATATCGTGTTAGTATTGGTGAGTAGGTGTAGTGTAGTATGGTTGAGGTGACTCTGTGGGCATTTTACCCGCGATTCTGCACGTCTCCGTTTGAAGAGGGAGGCTGCCCACCATGGCTCTTCCGCGATTTAGATGCGGCCCACCGACTCTGCTCCCCCACCACGGCGGGCTCCAGTCTGAGGTGAGTACGCTAAATAAACGTTTTAACATCTTCTAAAGACAATTCCCTACCTAAATGCAAAGTCTGAGAGACGTGGTTCACTCCATTTAGCTAGTCAGTCAGCAATTCTGCAACAGTGGCTCTAACTAACGCTGCACTAGTTGACAGACAGCATTACAGCGTGAAATCCAGCACAGCGTGACCCGGTTCTGTAAGGAATTCTGTTCAGGAGGTCGCATTTCAGGCTCTCCACATCATGTGTGACTGACTTTTACGTTATAACGATCACACACTAGGAATGTTATAAAGCACCTATATAGGAGATTCTTTTGTATATTATCTGACTTTATAAACTCCCAACAACAATGTGCTTATTTTTTTTTTCAGGCTAAATCTACCCAAGACACTGGCTGTCAGACTGATTTAGCTGCAATAATGCACTTGTCCAGGCAGACGTGAAGCCTTACCTGTAGCAAAGGTGAATTATTTTTAATAATCTTCTATGTAAACATTTTATTATTACCTTCTAGTTTTAATTTGTTTTACAGATTATTGTTACACGTGATTTTATGCTCTTTTAAACATTTATAAATGTGCTGCTTCTTTGTTTTTACATAGCCAGCCAGAATGGAGTTCACAGCCGCAGTGTGTCTGGTGACCCACAGGGACCATGATGGAAATTCATCTTCCAGAAGGTCCCAGAGCAGCGGCCACACCCCCCTGAAAAGACCAAGGTGTGAGGTGTCTGCTGTTGATTCCAGCTTCCACCTCAGTGACAGTGCAAGCTCAGTGAACTGTTCAAGGTAAAAAAAAAATTAAAACATTTCAGAATTTTTAAGATATTAACAATTAAATAAGTATGTGATTACATCATGATGGAGGCTACTGATTCTGGCCCTGTGACACTTGGTGGTGACATGTGAGCTGATTCACCTGGAAAACAACTTTTACATTAAATATTTTGTTTTTGCTATCAAAAGTAAATTAACTAATAACCTGCATTATTGCAGGACACTCAGCAAAATATGGACTCTACACCATGAGGCAGGCACACATTAATATTCTATAAGAGCACATAAGGTGAGCAACACCACATATTGTACACTGTCCTGAATTTGTTTTCTTTCTGCATCTCATTAGCCTGGCTGATCACCTGATAACTCCTGTCATCTGGTTATGACAGCATGAGGATGTCCTCACACACCTGTAACCTATCAGCTCCTCTGGCAGAATAGAGAGGGGAGACAACACCACATCTCCTGTTCCTGGAAAGCCTTCAGCCATCCTTCGATGACTGAGAACCTCCATCAGCTCTGTCTCCTGTCTGCCTACAATTATTATAATAAATATTGTGTTTGACAAGTTTTTTTGTGCTGCCAAATATCTCATATAGATTCCAGTTTTGATATTTTAATGGATATTTATAAATTACATAAATTTAATTATCACATTGCATGTTTAACTAGCTCTATTGTGATGATTTAAACTAGCACCTCACTGTTAAAAGCTCGTTTTAATTTCAAGCATGTTTAAGTATTTATGGACATGAAAAAAAACAGGAAATATATAAATTGAGATTTATTTAATTAATATAACAAATAAGGGGGAAAGAGTCATTGAAAGGCACATTCTTCTGGAAGCTCCTGATCCTGACGACACCAGCAGAGGAGACCAGCTGCAGACACCAGAGGACCTAGAACAAAGAGAGCAGCTGTTATTAGTAAATAAATAAATCGGGGCAGTTTTAGTGAGCTGAACACATTACAAAATAATTTTCTCATGGGATATTTTCATAACTTTATGCAGCAGACTGTAACTTGAGCCCAGGGCTACCGGAGAGCTGCTATCCAGCACGTTTCAGTGGATTTTCCTGCTTTAACAGGTTAGATTAGCTGTTAAGCAGCTCAGCTATTTGTTGCTGATTAAAACCAGGTGTGCTGAAGCAGATAAACCTCTAAAACATGCTGAATACTAGCTCTCCAGGGCAGTGGAGACAAACCCTGCAGCTAATCTGATGCTATGGCTAATGGCTACTTACATTCAGAGGTGGTTCTGTTGGGTCGGTTCTGGGAGTTACAGGCAACTCACAAGCTCACAACAATAAGGCTCAGGTCCGCTTGTCTCCTCCAAATAGACTTGGTCCCTTTCTTCTCGAGTGTCTGGGTAAGGAGGGGGAGAAACGTCCTCCATTTCTAATAACTGCATAGAGTGAAGGGAGCTAGCATCGTCTAGTTAGCCGTCGTCTTCGTCACTGCCGCGGCTCCGCCCTCTCGGTCCTCCAGGCAATGCCTACTAATGTTGCATTTTTTAAAATTGATACGTGGGTGGAGAAGGACTCCGAGGCTCAATTGACCCGCTCTTTAAACAGAAGAGTGAGAAAAAATTCACGCCCCTCAGAGTTGTCATGAGTGTAAACTAGATCATTTAAACAAAAAACATGTTTTGGAACCAGGCTGTAAACATGTTTATTTCTGCTGTGAAATTGGTATTTTTAACATGGGAGTCAATGAGGATTTGCTCGCTTCTGACACCAGCCCCCAGCAGATGAGGGTGGAACTGCAATTTATTTCATTTCCAGGTTTGCTTCAATTTTTCACCCGTATTGTGGGGGCTTGGTTTGGATGCGTGAATGGAATATCAAAAGGTTCTTTCAGAGAAAGAAAAGGCGTTCTGGGTGAAAGAGTTGTTTTGCAGCTAACTAAGTTGTTTCTTAGAGAGAACAGTATCGGACGCAATCTGTGCACCCTGCGATCATCCCCAAGAATCATCCCATCACAAAGATGCTGATCGCTCACCATCACGAAAGAATGGAACACCGAGGTAATGGCCTCACCATTAATGATATTAGGTCCAACGGCTACTGGATCCCAGGAATGAACCGGGTTGTAGCATCCTACGTTCAGTTCACTTCAATTCAAAAATACTTTATTAATCCCAGAGGGGAATTGATTTCGCCACTGTGTCACCTGTAGACGGCACCGGAAACCAACTGAAGAGCAAAGGATGGCTGATTTACCCCCTGAACGTGTGGAACCATCGCCCCCCTTTTCCTTTTGCGGAATGGATTGCTTTGGCCCTTTCGTTACCAAGCAAGGACGAAAGGACAGCAAGAGGTACGGTCTTCTTTTCACTTGCCTCAGCTCCCGGGCCATCCATATCGTGATGCTTGACAGCATGTCAACAGACTCGTTCATTAATGGTTTGAGATGTTTCATTGCTATTCGTGGTACTGTTCGTCAGATCAAGTCGGACGGCAGAATTAGTTTTATTATTCCCAACCTGTGGATGGAAAGATTTATGTTTTTTTTTTTGTAGTTGTAAATAAACCTGATCATCATTTTAACTTTTAAATCCCACGTTATTGTCCCTTCCTTTTTGCACACGAGCCAAACTCCCCAGGAAGGGTCATAACACCACTCGCCTCACACACATAAGTGACCAAAACAAAGCAGCATGGAGACACTCCGTCTTCAACCACCTCTCAGGCAGCAGCCTGCACTCCCAAGTTCTACATGTCACCAGAACATAACCAACTGCAACACAATAAAAGCAGTGTTATACAAAATGGAAGGCCTGTAGTGATTATTCTCTTACAGTAACCATTTATCAATTTTTTGAGTAATTTATTAGAGATTTTTTGGTTTTTATTAACTGTGCAATAGAAAAATAATCATTAGATTAATTGTCTAAATAGTCATTAGAATAGTCAACTATTCAATAAAATAATCATCAGAATAATCGTTTTAAAAATAATCGTTTACCCCCAGCCCTATGGCACACTCCAAGAAGAAACATGCAAGTTGGAGATATCGTACTCGTCAAAGGAGATGATGCATACAGAAATGAGTGGAGATTGGGGAGAGTTTCAGGAACTACTACCGATAAAGACGGACTTGTAAGAAGAGTGAAGATCTGCCGGGATCGTGTGTGTGTGTGTGTGAGTGTGTGTGAGTGAGTGAGTGAGTGAGCGAGCGAGCGAGCGAGTGAGTGAGTGAGTGAGTGAGTGAGTGAGTGAGTGAGTGAGTGAGTGAGTCGTAGTTGATGGCTGCTTATACTGAGCCAGGATCCTCTGCAGGTTTCTTCCTGTAAAAAGGGAGGTTTCCTCTCCACTGTCGCTGTATGCTTGCTTTGTATGAGGATTGCTGTAAAGTCACTGACACTAGTCAGTGACTCGATACAATTTGATGGGTTTTTTTATATAGGAAACTTTTTACTGATTAATGAATTGAACTATTTATAATCAAGTGCCTTGCCATGTTTTGTCGCTTAATAAATAAACTGAATTGAACTTAATCACCCCAAAAGCATGATGTACCACACTTCCCACTCCCAAGCCATTTCATTAATGGGAGTGCATGCTGCCATTCGAGCTGCATGAACGGCAGTGAAAGAATAATAACTAAGTTCCTAAAGAAATTATAAAAGAGACCTGCCTACTGGCACAAGATAGTGGCCACGTGCTAAAGAGGTCAAATAATGATATTTGGGTGACTAAATCGTGGTATTTTTCATGCATATGTAAAAATGCCTCCTTTGAGGGCCTTCCATCTAATTAATCAATTAATTATGTACATATTTAACTGATATTTATACAAATTTAGGGTGGCACGCGTGTTTTTTACTAATAATTTGTCCATGGTAAATTGAAACACTTAGAAATGTAACAGCACACCTCCCACGGCCGAGCCACTCGTTTTGAGGTGTAATTTGTGGGGGTGCACGATGCCTTTCGAGCTACGTTAACAATTTATTACTTATACAAATTTAGAGTGGCACACACTCAAAATAAAAAATGTTTAGATGTTTTTTGCTAATGATTTCACCATCGTAAATCAAAACGCTTAGAAAAGTAACAGCACACCTCCCATGGCCGAGCCGCTTGTTTTAAGGGGTAATTTGTGGGGGTGCGCGATGCCTTTCGAGCCACATTAACATTTACGGAATAATTAGATTTAAGAGAGCAAATCTTCCTGTGCATAACTATAAGGGACCTGCTGGCAGAGCAGCAGGTTGCTTAATAAAGATCTCAAAACCTCCGGTGAAGAATAATAAGTTGCTTTCCACTTGATTCTATCTGGCAGGAGGCTATGTCATGGTCTGCGTCCTGCGTCCCCCTCATGTGTTCTCCAGTCCCCCTCTAGGTTCCCCTTATGTGCCTCCTTGTGGTCCCCAGCCCCACTCCAGGTTCTCCCCTTAGGTTTCTATGCCTCTAGGTCTCCAACCCCAGGCGTCCCTCTAGGATCCCCCTCATGTGTATCTAAGCTTCCTGTGCCCCTTCCTGTCTCCAGCTCCCACCAGGTTTCCCAGGTTCACTTATTCTTTAGTTTTCTTTGTATTTATATTATCTAGCTAGTTTTTCCCTGTAGTTTCATAGGTTCAGGTTTTCTTCTAGGTTCCTTCCTTGGTCCTTCCCCACCGGTTTATTAGTTCTCCTTTCCTCCTTAGATCATTAGTTATTTGTCTTGTTCTTCTAGTTTTTAGGTTTGGTTATTATTCATAGGTCATGTTTTATTTCCCCTCCTCAGCTTAGTTTCCTCTCCCTGATCAGTAAATTGATTTCACCAGGTTTCTCTCTCCCCACGCACCTGCAGCTCATCTCCCAGTCATCTTGCCCCTTTGTATAAAACCCTGTCTGCGCCCGTCCCCCCCAGGTTTTTTCGGCTAATTCATTCTTTTTTTTTTTTTTTTTTTTTTTAAACCGTGTCCTGCTGTGATGCAAACAGAATTGATGTCTGAATGCTGGTAACAAGCCTCACAGATTTACTCTCGGGTGGAGCATCAAAGTGTCTGCTTTTAATGTCACACCTGATACTTAAAACTTTATTGGTTTTGTTTATGAATGCTTTGTAATTCCGACCAGACACGGAGTCAGAGGTGAAAGAGAAAGGAAAAGACAAAAGGTGGGGAGGGGGGGAGGGGTCCACAAAAATAATGAACAAGAGTCTGCTTCTAGACCTGCAGAAAGAGACAAGAAAAAAAAGTAAAAAAAATTAAAAAACAACAAAAAAATGGGACACAACAAATATACAGCAAGATCAAGCTGTCACTGCGTCATCTTGATGAAGAAATATATAATCAACATTGTTTAACTGAACAATCACACGATAATAAATCACAGTGCATTAAGTGCCCACCATACTCTTAAGACCTGTGTTGAACATGCCCAAGCCATACTTTTGAGAGCACCATGTGAGCACCTGTGTGTACACACACTTATTTATGTAAGGTTTCTCCATAGGAGCGTCCAATAGAGAGTGTGAGGAACCACAGATCTGCCCTCCAAATATGTGTAGGAGACGGGGGCAGCTCCAAGTCCCAGAGATCCAGGCGCTGCCCCAGAACACAGGAACCCCAAGGAGACTGCAACCAGAAAGGCCCCCGGCCCCCTCGAGAGGCACAGAGGGTCGCCCCGGGGGGCCACAACCAGCAGCCGGCAGAGCCCCGGGAGATATCAGCGGCAAGCCCACAGGCCCACCCGCAGCCTCCCAACCCCTAGCCGGCAGAGCCCGGGACCCAGGACCCATGGGCGACCACTCCCGCCGGGGACCCAGCAGAGCCCCGGGACTCAGACCCCACCAGACAGCCACCGGGATTGATCAGGCAGACGTCAAAAATCTTAAACCCCCTGACCGGGGAGCCACGAACACTCAGGCAGACCAAAGCACCACACCCCACACCAGGTGTGGCAGGGGGAGGGGAGACGAAGATCTATATCATCAAAAGAAGTCCCAGGAGAGAGGAGGAGTCAAAGGCCCCACCTGATATATACAGTCATACACAAACAAAGTCACACACTCCCTCCCTCATCCTCACACATGCACATACAACCCAAGACTTACAAAAATGCACGCCGGACACCCACTCATGCTCCCCATACACACCCTATTCACTCTGGTCCTGGTACTGCTGCACATGGGGTACAACCATTACCGGTTACCAGAGTTTGACCCTTTCTGCTGGGGTGCTGATGAGCAGGCTCCCCCGCCCAACGCTGAGCACAGCAACCCACCACCCCAGACCCCAACCAGATGGCCAGATCTCCATCCTAGCCTCCAGCCCCAGGAAGCCAAGCAACAACAGAGGTGTGCTAAGACCCCTAGTCTCCCTCCGCCTGCTCCAAAATAGTGTTGTGTGTTGATGAGGTGTATTCCATGGCTGTGGTGAGCGGGCAGTGCGGACATTGTCTGGCCTATGCCAGCTGATGCCACTGCACCACCCCACTTGCACCCACAGCCCTCGGTGTCTAAGTGCAGTTTAAAATTGGAAGTGGGCACCGGCACTCGGGAGGAGGCTGAGAAATCCCCCCGCCAAGTGCTGTTGAATGTGCTCACTCCCAAGGCCCTAAGTGTGTGTTTGCGTGGAATGCTGTCGGTGGAAGTGTATAAGGTGCAAATAAAATTGGGGGCAGGTTGCCACAGGAATGCGGAAACGGGGTCCATACCCGCACTCCCTGACTTGTCCACCCCCCAAGGTCCTATGTGGATGTTTGTGCAATGATGTGAGGGAGCAGGAGGAGAGAAATATGCGGGTATGGGGAGGAATGGCTGGTTGGGCTTAGCCCTCCAGGGAGCCAGCTCCCCCACTGGCCCCAATAGGCACCGCCGTAGTCAAATCACCACCCAGGGCATGGAGACCCCAGCCCATCCTGCCAGGGCCCAAAGCAGCAGTATTACAGAGCCTCACGGAGTCCGAGGGCACCAACCCAGCCCCACCTCAGCAGAATATCTATGCCCATCCCTGCATTTGCACAACTTCCAGAATATATAAGACATAGGACATCCAGGTAAGGTTGGGTCCTCCCCCTCCTGGACCTCCCCCTCCCCTGTGATGGGACAGCAAAGGAGCCAAGGTCCACCCGAGGCCCCTGAACCCAGGCCAGGCACTGCTGCATGTTCCTGCCTTCTTCCCGGCAGCATAAATGTCAGGACCCGACCCCCAAGGCCCCGCCCAGATCCCCACACCGGGCCGGCCACCCCCACACTCCGAGCTCCCAGGCCCCCACCCAGACCCGCCCAGGGGCAATGCAGCTGCCAGGCAGTGACCCATGGCCGCCGCCAAGACCTCCAAGGGGCCCCCACTCACAACCACCAGTAGTCCACCCCCCGAGGCAACCCAAGCACCTCCAGAGGGGGGCAACGGCCCCCCAGTTCCAGATACCCCCAGTGAACCCACCTCCAGGGAACATCCAGATACTCCAAACTCAGACCCTCCACCCCCCCACCCACATCATTCCGCACGACAACATCAATGGTCCCCCATCATCGCTATGTGATGGAACCGATCAAAGGAGCCCAGAGAGATTGATTTGAAGTGGAAGCAGAGGCTAAATCAAGTGTAATATGATCTAACAAAAGATTTCTATACTGGTTAATGCAGAGAGTTTCTCTATTTTTCCAACTGAAGAGGATAGTTTTCTTAGCGATGCATATGGCAGTCAGAACCACGTGAACCAAAGATGTTTCAATCGGGACATTGTCCGGCTAAATCATTCTTAATAAAGAATGTTTTCTTTTATGTTTATGTTTATGTATTTAGCAGACGCTTTTGTCCAAAGCGACTTACAAGTGATAATCGGCATTTTGCCCTTGAGGCTAACAACAACAACAACAAATTGACATCAGTCATGGAGAGGAGGGAACAAGGAGTGGACAGTAGAGAGGGGGGACGGGTGCAGACAAGGTGCTAGTTAAGAAGATGCTCTCTGAAGAGCAGGGTCTTCAGGAGTTTCTTGAAAATAGAAAAGGAAGCCGCAGTTCTGGTAGTGTTAGGAAGGTCATTCCACATTTGTGGAACGATGCATGAGAAAAGTCTGGATTGTCCTGAGTGTGGTGTAGGCACTGCTAGCCTACAATCCTGTGATGACCGGAGCGGCCGGGCCGAGACGTAAGCCTTTGCAAGAGGATTCAGGTAGATGGGAGCCGTACCGTCTCGGACTTTGTATGCTAGTGTTAGCAATTTGAATTTGATGCGTGCTGCTAGCGGTAGCCAGTGGAGCTCAATGAACAGAGGGGTGACGTGTGCTCTTTTAGGCTGATTGAAGACCAGACGTGCCGCTGCGTTCTGGACCATTTGAAGAGGTTTCACAGTACAGCCTGGAAGACCAGTTAGAAGAGCATTGCAGTAGTCGAGGCGGGAGATGACAGTAGATTGCACCAGGAGCTGGGTGGCATGTTGTGTTAGGTATGGTCTGATCTTACGTATGTTGTACAGCGCAAAGCGGCATGAACGGGCAACAGAGGCAACATGATCTTTAAAGGCCAGGTGTTCATCAATCACAACACCCAGATTTTTACATCCTCTCCTGCTTCGTGTCGTTCTGAGTATCTGCACATTGGGCCCAACTCATCCAACCCACAACGTGACATTCAGACCAAAACGTCTCACCATTAGAATAATTTCTTCCCCTTTGCAGTTGGACACATAAATGACAAGACTGCCCAATCCAGTCACTTTGTTCCAATCACCTGACCCTGTGTTGTGTTTGCACCTGACTGCTCTCTGTCTATATTCTATATATTAGCCATTTCTCTAATTAATACCCATCCATCCATCCATCCATTTTCGGCCGCTTATCCAGGGTGGGGTTGCGGGAGCAGTAGCCTAAGCAGGGAGGCCCAGACTTCCCTCTCCCCAGCTATGTGGACCGGGGGAATTCTGAGGCATTTCCTGACCAGCCGTGAGACATAATCTCTCCAACGTGTCCTGGGTCTCCCTTTAGGTCTCCTCTCGGTTGGACGTGCCCAGAAAACCTAACTAGGGACACGTCCAGGAGGCATCCCTACTAGATGCCCGAGCCATCTCAACTGGCTCCTCTCTGTGTGGAAGATCAGCGGGTCTAATCCGAGCCCCTCCGAGCTTCTTACCCTATCTCTATGGGAAAGCCCTGCCACCCTACAGAGAAAACTAGTTATATTATTATTTTGATGAGCTAATCTCTCGTTTTTTTAACCAAGTACCGCAACAATTTCTTAACGTTGTGATTTGTCACACATACGGCGAAAAGCCCCGTATGCCTGACTATGTTTGCAGGGAGCTGTAGTAATAAGGTGTCATTTCTGCTAAATCTAATGGATAATTCTAACAGAGGTTTCAATCGTTTTTCTGGCGATTGTTGAGCACAATCAGTTATTTACTAATGGCAGAGCGATGTTTCCTATGGACGAATTTCTTTTTATGCTGCTCCATGTGGCTTGGCCCTTTTCTGAGAGGTGGTTTGGGACTTAGCTTAGCCTGTGGATGGTCTCTCTTGAATGCTTCCTCATCTGGTATCTGGTCTCTACTTTCACCGTATTTGTACTCAAACATGCAGATAAAGTATTCCAGTGAACTGCACGTTTCCTCAAGTTGTTTAATTTCTCTTTCGTTGTCCCGATAATCACTCATTTTCACCCACATATCTTTCATTTGCATTTGGTATGTTTCAATTTCTCGCGTTTTGTCTTTATTTTCACCTTTTAATGCCTCTAGCTCTGCTCTGAGACTCTCATAGGCCACCTGGAACTCCTTTTTGAGCTTGGCACAGCTGAGACAGGCCTTTGCGGACTTAGGGTCTGCTTTTGGCAAAAGTGTCTCTAGTGACTCTCTGACAGCCTTTGTGTTTTGTTAAACATTTGTTCGGCAAAGGTGTCTCTAGTGACTCAACTGTCTGACAGCCTTTGTTTTTTGTTAAACATTTGTTCGGCAAAGGTGTCTCTAGTGACTCAACTGTCTGACAGCCTTTGTCTTTTATTAAACGTTTGTTCTCATAAAAGCTGATTTGATATTTCAGTGAACTGCACGTTTCCTTGAGTTGTTCAATTTCTCTTTTTTTCTCCCGATAATCACTCATTTTATCAGACATATCCTTAATTTTCCTTTGTTTCTTTTCAATCTCCTGTGTTTTGTCTTCATTTTCATTCTTTAATGCCTCTAGCTCTGCTGTGAGACTCTGATAGCCCGCCTGAAAATCTTCCTCCAGCTTGACACAGTGGGGACAGGCCTCTGCAGGCTTAGGGTCAGCTATTAAGTCCACTGTCTGACAGCCTTTGTCCTCTGATAAACGTTTGTTCTCATAAAAGCTGATTTGATCTGTCAGTGAACTGCATGTTTCCTTGAGTGTTTGAATTTCTCTTTTGTTCTCCCGATAATCACTGATTTTATTTGACATATCCTTCATTTTCTTTCGTTTCTTTTCAATCTCCTGTGTTTTCTCCTTGTTTTCATTCTTTAGTGCCTCTAGCTCTGCTGTGAGGCTCTGATAGCCCGCCTGAAAATCTTCCTTCAGCTTGACACAGTTGGGACAGGCCTCTGCAGGCTTAGCTTTTGTCAGACAGCTTTTGGCCACTGATAAATATTCAGTCGCTTCCTGCATTTCAGTTTCAAGGTGTTGAATGTGTGCTTGAAGCTGTTCGTTTTTCTTGTCTACTTCCAGCATTTTGTTTTTAATATCCATTTTTTCCATGTGGACGAGGTCCTTATAATTATTCAGACGTTTCTGACAAGTGTCAAAATCCTTCTTTAGTTGTTGATTTTCTTGTTTTAACTTTAATATTTGGTCGTTTTGCATGCAGTCCTCACCCTGTTCTTGTAACTCCTGTTTTATCTGAAGTCGTTTTATGGTTTCCTCATAAGTCTTACTGGTTCTTGATATTTCTGCCACTGTCTTCCCAAGTTGACTGTTTTTTTGTTTCAAACTAAGGTTTTCTTTGTTCTTTGCAGACAGTTTTTTTTCTATGAGCTTCTTTTCATCCAAGCAGGTATTTAAATCAGAAGTTACCTTATCTTTGGTCTCCTGAAGGTGAGCAATCTTCTGTTTCAAACTAACCCGCTCATCGATTTCCTGTGTTTTGTCTGGAAAGGCGTCATTACTCTCAGAGTTCTCTAATTCTCTGATGAGTTCCTGATTCTTCTTGGTGAGTTTAACTATTCGATTAGACATTTTTTCATTTCTGTCAACCAGTTTGTCCTTCTGTCCCTGTAAATCATTCAGTTTCCCCTCAAATTCTTCCAGGATTTCTTTAAGTTGGGAATTTTCTTTAACCAGAGATTTCACTTTGTCCTCAGGGTAACTGTCATTTTCTTGTTTTGCCCTTCTCACATCCTCTTTAAGTTCACTAATTTCATCGATTAAAGGGCCAAGCGAACTCTGAAGCTCTTTGTCTTTTCCGACACATTGTTGAATGATATTTTTCAGTTTTGTATTCTGAGAATCCAGTTGTTCTACCTGAGATTGCAGTCCTACATTTTGTGATCTAAGTGTCTTAAGCTTTTCATCTAATTCTAAGTTGGCTTTTGGCAGCTCAGTAGTTTCCTCGTGTTTTTCAGCTTCTTGAAATTCAGAAATTTGTTTTAGATAAGAAGCTTCTTTATTTTTAAAATGGCTATGAATAGTTCTCATCTTTTGGACAGCCCTATTAAAGTCCTCGCTGTTTTCATTAAGTGCTTGTAAAATAGCTTTGGAAAGATCTGAGAAACTCTGGAACAGATCACGATTTTCATGGTGCACAAAATCCGATTTTGAATCAAGGATTTTGATTTGGTTCTGAAACTTCTCAAAGCGTGACATGTTGATATGATAGCTCTCTGTGCTAGTCTGGTGCGATGTGGTGTGGCTGATGGAATGTGCTTTGATGAGGTAATACTACCTTATGACGTCATAAAGCAAATGACGTGCAACGACGACGCTGGAGAGGGAGACGCTGGAGGACGTGCAACGATGACGCTGGAGAGGGAGACGCTGGAGGAAGAATGGGTAAATACAAATCTAACCGGCATGCACTGCGCGCTGGTGGTCTTATTTATTTAAAACGTATTTAATTGTTTAATGTTATTTAATATGTGTTTATTTAAAATTTATGTTATTTAATATGTATTTATTTAAAACAGGTACGTAGTTATTTTGAATCGGTGTAGTTTTTTTCTAATTTTTTCAGAATAGCTTTCAGGCGCCCTCTTGTGGTGTAATTTTTTACGTTTGCGGACTGCTTGTTGAAGTCTGACCCACGTAAACCTGTAAGATGTTGTTTGTTTTATAATATTGATGTCTAAATATCTGTGCAGTTTCAGCAATAAGTGCGTTGGGTTATAGAAACGTTTTAAGTTTTAAAACAAGAAGAACTTTTGCTTTTATCAAAACGTTAGCTTTAGCTAGTGCTGAATGCTAACTAGATGCTAGCATGGAGTTACAAAAGTGCACCGTGAATCTTCTTCTACGGTTTCTGTCTTGAAATAAGGCCAAGTGGGCTGAAAATATTACTAACTACAGAGTTTAACCCAAAATAAGTCACTTTAACCATATATTTGATGTTGTGTGAATTGTTTTTATTTAAAATATCGTTTAAGGAATTTATCCAGTTTATTTAAGAAAGGGAAAAAATAACAATGCTGGACCTGTGGTCTTTTTTTATTTCATTTATTTATTTATTTTTTTATTATCATTAAATGCTTATTACAATTTCTCGTGAGACAACAACACATAATGGAAACGTACAAGGCATCCTATAAAAGAAAACAAATAAGAAACTTAAAAAAGAGGCACCTATATCACAAAGTAAAAACATTGTTGCAAGATTAAACATTTTTCTGCAGCATGACAAATGGCTTTTGCAATTTCATTAGATTTTTTTATACGAATCAAAGTGGATAAGAACATATGGAATTCATTTGTGAAACAGTTCAGGTTTGGCAGTTGTTTTTTCCATTTACTTTTGTGGATGTGGTATTTACCCATAATAATAATAATGTTTATTAACAATGAATTTTTCCCATTTAATTTAGAATTGTAAATAAGAATATCTTCATTTGTAAAATGATCAAGTTCTCTTATTTTATTTCTTAACCAACAATGGACTTCTTCCCAAAACCTCTTACTTATATGACAGCTGAAAAATAAGTGTTCTATTTCTTCAGGGCTTCCCTGACAGAATTCACAAGGGTCAACTTCAAAACCAAATCTCTTCCTCAGTGTCTCTGCTGATGGATAGTAGTTGTTAAGAATTTTAAATTGCATTTCTTTTACTTTGGGCATTATAGGCCATTTTATAAATTTTAATTGTTTTTCTTCAATTATTGGATTTCCTATTTTTATTTTAATATTTCTATCATAATCATGATAGATATATCTTTTAAAGGCTCCATTTAAAAATTTATTTTCACATTTTCTTTCTGTGATGTGCAATTCTCCTATTAATAAATTAGGAAGTTTTATTTGAACATTAGAGAAGAGGATTGTGTTTTTTATCATTTGTATCAAAGTCACTGGTAGAGCCTTACATACTTTCTCATATTCCTGAAGAGAATATTGAATGTTATTAAATTTGCATTTAAAATTCTGTAGCTGTAGTATTTCACCATCTTTATCCATAATATCGTGTACAAACTAAGATAATTCCTTGATCAAACCACTGTTGGTTAAACACAGACTTTCTGTTTGAAACAATTACTCGATTATTCCACAAGGTGGCACAATGAGGAGTAAAATTATGAGTAAATACCATAGACTGTACATACCATCTTCCAATAATGCAATACTTGTTTGTGAAATTCAGATAATTTAAAAGGCAATTTTGTGATTTCAAAGTCACATTTCAAAAGAAAGTTTAGCCCCCCAAACTTCTTGAAGACATTTTTTGGAATATGAAACCAAATTGTATCCGTCTTTATTAGAAATTCTTTCAGCCACTTTGTTTTAAATGTTCCCAGCGTTGCTTCAAAATCCACAGATTTCATACCTCCATTTTTATGTTCTTTGACTAACTGGGATCTTTTTATATAATGGGTTTTATTTCTCCATATAAATTTGTATATAATAGCGTTAATATTTTTCACTGTTTTTGGAGCGATATAAAGAGATTGACATGGATAGATCAATTGGGAAATATCCTCAGACTTGGACAATAAATTTCGCCCAAAAATAGAAAGATCTCTGCTAAGCCATTGGTTCAGAGTTTTTTGTATTTGATCAGTTTTTTCTTTCATATTGATTTCTTCTCTTTGTTTTTAGTCTGCAACTATCTTAACTCCTAGATATTTTATTTCTTTTTTAACAGGAATTGACATTATCTCATTATCTGTGCATTCATACAGTGAAAGTAACTCACGTTTTTTTGTGTTCAGACGAAGACCTGATGCTTTGGAAAAATTGAAATAATTTGTAATGCTTTGTTAACCATAGATTTATCCTTTAGAAAAAAAAACTGTGTCATCTGCAAACTGACTTAAACGAAATTCATAATCAAAAAAATTTATACCCTGAAAATTTGGATGATTTATTACCAGATATGCTAATAGTTGTGTACATAAGATAAACAGTTTGGGGCTGATTGGACATCCTTGTCTTATTCCACAAGTTATATTTATTCTTTTTGTTAGTCCTGGGTTTAAGGAAACATAACTGATAATATCAGTATAGAACATTTTTATCACTGAACAAAATTTTTTTCCAAAACCGAAATATTCTAGGGTGGAAAATAAAAAATTATGTTCTATAGAATCAAAAGCTTTGAAATAGTCTATGAATATAATGAGGCTGTCCGTTTCCAAAATAGACCTATAATCCAGCATATCCAGTACTAATCTCACATTATTATGTATGCTTCTTCCTTTTATAAATGCAGACTGATTATCATCTACTACTTCATCAATTACCGTTTTTAGTCTTTCTGCATATAATAGCGCTAATAATTTATAGTCATTGCACAACAGAGTAATTGGCCTCCAGTTGTCTAAGTCTGTTGTATCTTTTTTTGGTTTGGGAAGAAGGGTTATTATTCCAGTTTTCATTGTTGGGGTAAGACATCCTTCATTTATACACTCATTAAATGTACTTAATAACAATTCTTGAACATCTTCCCAAAAAAATTTAAGAAATTCCGAGGTCAATCCATCAATACCGGGCGATTTCCCATTTTTCATTTTTTTTCAGGGAATTTTCTACTTCTTTAATATTCAAATCATCCTCCAGATTTTTTCTGTCTTCCTCTCCAATAGATTTAATATTGTTCTTTATCTGAGTGAAGAAGGATTTACATTCCTCCTCACAAAAACTAGAACTATATAGGTCTGAGTAAAAACGTTGAACTTCCTCCTTTATTTGATTTTGGTCTACTATTACAGTGTCATTTTTTCTTAATTTGCATATTTTCTTTTTGGATTGTCTAGACTTTTCTAATCCATAAAAATATGTTGAGTTCTTTTCGCCTTCTTCAATCCACTTAGCCCTGGATCTTACAAAGGCTCCATTCACTTTTCTTTATAAATTTCGTCAAGCTGTTTTTGGAGCAAGTTTAGCTCTGTTAGTTCATCCTCCGTGTTATTAATTTTATCACAGAGTAGGCTGATTCTTTTTAGCAGTTCTTTCTGCTTTAATTTTCTCTCTTTTGTCATAATTTTCCCCATTTCAATTGCTAACCTCTTTGTTTCAAATTTAAACCATTCCCATTTTCCTTTATTTGACATATCCATCCTTTTTATCTTTTGACAAAGGGCTTTTATTTGTTTGCAAAACCCTTCATTTGATAAAAGGCTATTATTTAGTTTCCATAAACTGTCTGAAGAGCATGTTTGTTTTATTATTATTAAAGTTAAGCTTATTAAACAGTGATCAGTAAGCGGAGAAGTAATAATCTCACATTTCTTTACATTGTTACCTAGTGTGAGATTAGCCAATAATCTATTCTTGACCGTTGGTTTCCATTAGAAGCACTGATCCATGTGTATTCTGATTTTGTAGGATTATTTAATCTCCAGTAATCAAAAGTATTGGTGATAGAACAGAAATCTTGTAAGATATCATTGTTTTCAGGTTGCTGACCTCTAGGTGGTCACCTATCTAACCAAGAGTTTGGTGCGATATTAAAATCTCCTCCCGCAACCACCTTATCTGTTATATGAACATTTTGCCAATCTGTTATCATTCTGCCCAAGTTTTCTAACATCTCTCTGTTTTTAGTTTTGTTATTATATCCATAAATAGAAAGTATAATAAATTTCTGATCATATATTTCTATAGCTGCTATTAACCAGTGGCCGTCTTTGTCTCCTCTATGATTAATTACTTTCCTTGTAAATTTGTTAGATAGTATCATAACCCCTGCCGAATAGCTGGTACCATGGCTATATAAAATTTTATCCCCCCACTGTTGTCTCCAAAAATGTTTCCTCCTCTATGCCTGAATGTGTTTCCTGTAACAAAATTAAGTTGGCCTTAAGCTCTTTACAAAATAAAAAAGTGCCTTGCGCTTTATGGTGTTTTTCAACCCTCTAACATTCAAAGAAGTAAACAAAACTGACATACCAAACTAAACAAATTGCTAGAATGTTACCTAGTTTATCCGCTCTGGATTTATCCAAACAGCAGCTAATGAGCAATATTGTCCAACTATATTATATCTCATCCAAAACCTCCACCTTTAACAACCAGAAGATAAAAAACATTGGGCTGTTTGGTCTAGTGAGATCTCATTTTCAAAATAGCAGCCCATCTTAACAGAGGAACAGTATATTAGAAAAAAAAAGTGTGTTGGTCCTTTCCTGAATATTGAAATGTATGATATTTCTAACATATATAGACCTTCCTCCCATCGATGATGGCGTATCCTTCCTTCAAGAAGGCCTTCTTTCCACGTCGTCTGGCTTCCTCCACCTGGGGCCACAGCTTCTCCCACGCCTCCCGATCCTCTTTGGAGAAGTCCATTTTAAAGATGATCTTCTTCTCCTTGCATACTCTGGCCTCTTTCGACATCTTCCACACTTCTTCCTTCATCGTACGTGACACAAACTGAATGATAATGAATCTTGGCCTGGTATTCATTGCATCTTTTTTTCCCAAACGGTGAACGGTGTCCACATTCCTGCGGAGCTCGTCAACAGACACGGGGACCACTCTTGTGAGTATGCCGATAACTTCCTCTCTGATTTTCTCTTCCTCTTTTTCAGCTAACCCAAAAAGCCTGAGGTTCCATCTCCTCTTGTACCTCTCAGCTTCCAGTACCTTCTCTTTCAGAGCTTTATTTTAGACACCCAGAAACTCAACTTGTTTTTGTAGTTTAGTGATGTTTTCTTTGTTTACATTTGTTTCTTTCTTCGTGTCTTCTGTGCTTTTTTCAATGTTTTGTAGTTTGCTTTCTTGAGCATCCAACTTTTTTAGAGCTTCTTGAACATTGTTCATTCTCCCTTCAATGTTCTCCAACTTCCCGTCCAGCCCGTCAAATTTTTTTTATCAGAATCTCCATCATTTGCACAAGACTATTTGTACTCTCCTCTCTTGCCTTCACACTTCTCTTCCTCAGCTTTTTGGGTTGTGGACTGTTCATATCAGTTTGACTGTCCTCGAGATTATCATCAGCTTGCTCTATATTTTGGGGTTCGTTTTCACCCATATCATCCATCACAGCCATGCCATTATCATGATCGACGATGCTAACTTCGCTACGTTGTTCCATCTTTAACTCTCTCTCACCGTAATTAGCTCTTCAAAAAAGTTCCTCAGTTTGTCAAAAAACGAATGAAAGTCGCTTCTAATACGTTATGGCTTGTTTTTTTTTTTTACCTTTAAACAGCGTTTGGACTTGGAAAAATACTGTTTTCCCTTTGGATCCTGCTATAAACCAACTGCTCACTCCGCCATCTTGTCGCCTCCGCTGGACCTGTGGTCTGATCCCTGTAACTTCTCTTGGGCAACAGCCTCATCGGTTACATCAATCAGCTGAAGCTCCGCCCCACACCTGAGCCCCCACCTGAGGAGTGGTAGTTACTGTAAGTCTACACCAGATGGCACCACACCGTTTGTTCTGCTGCTGAGTGCTGCACCATGCACTGGACAGGGAATATTCAAACCGTCTAAGCGTTCACACTGTATTTCTATTAAAAACATAAATGATATAAAGTCATTTTATTTTGATTTTCCTGGGTTTTAGGTTGTTTTTTTTTTTACTAGAAAAATCGATTTTACCCCTGAGAGATGACCGTGTGTGTTACAATAAGAGGAAGTTTCTCATGAAAGATTAAAGTGTGTTTCTCTAGAGTAATAAAACAGATGGAAAGAACGCTACTGAAATGAAAATTTCTTGAAAATGAATTCAACACAAAAGAAAATAAAAACAATTTTCATTGATTAATTTGGATTTTTTTTAATCTAAATGATGCAAACAATTAACAAATTCATTCTAAAACATGTAAATAAAGATCACAACAACAGCAAAAAGCTCATCTTTAATGCAGAAGCAGCTCTGGTGCTTCATCCGTGGGGTTGTGGTGGGGGTCATATGGTCTGCTGCTGTTGGGTAACTCGGTAGGGATTCGGTGAAATACGTGCTTTCTTCACTCTGCGGAGTTGTTGCAGTCCTAGGGCTGCAGATTGCCCCACACAACGCTGTGGGACATTTCAACAGACACGGTCACACAAGAAGTAACCTTTAAGGGCCTGTGTTACACTTCCATTCTCCTCCAAAAGCTCACAGGGACGTGTTTTTAGACTGGAAAGGCCGTAGTTTCCATCTTATTAGAGGTAGAAATATTTATAATCAGGTCATTTCATGCTGATTTCAATTCTTTTCACTTTAGATTATACTAAATATTTAAAAAAAAAAAAAGCCCCACCTCCCCTGTGTCTCCTATCTCTGTGTCCCTTCATCACCATCACAGCCACAGGAAGGCCCTGGCAGCCCCAAGCACTGATATTATCTCTGTGCTCCTCATCTCCATCCTCCGCCGTGTCGAAATCTTGCCTGTCCCACAAAGGGAAACCGCTGGTGCACAACCGTCCATGGCATGACGTCCGTTTCTGTGGCTAGAGGGCTTCTGGGAAATGGTGCGGCAGGCTTGCACCTTGATGAAGGATGCAGAGGGGGAATCGATGAGCGCGGTGATGCAAAAGGGTCTGTTGCAGAACACTCATTGGTTCTGGGGTGTCCGTCTTGTGTTTCCTGTGGCCTCATTTCTAATACATTATCCATCAACAGAATCTGTATCAATCCTAGCCCTCCTGTAGTTTGATTTAAAGATGCAGCCCAGATAAGGATCTAAATAACACTCAGGTTTTATTGCCTCCACTACAAACCACAGAGGTCGTTGTGTAAGCGTTGAGCAACAACAGCTCGGGCCAAGACAACAAGATGTCAGCTAGCTGATTCTGTAGCTAATCAAATCAAAAGGATTTCTGCTACTTCTCACTGAACAGAACCTTCTCGTCTTTCTCACCTTGACAAAGTACGGCCGTTCAGAACAGACTGGGACGAGTTTTACAACGAGTATGGAAGCTGAAATGGGTCAAATTTATTTTAATTTAATCATCTTGTGACAGCAAAGAAACAGAAACTTGCGCTTAAATTAAGCGAGTGGATCTCCAGATTCAGGGAACTGAATGATGCAGAAATGGTCACATCGAGGCTTAAAGATGGTTATAGATAATCTGGTGATGAAACAGCTTGTATCACGACATAATCAGCTTATCTCCACCAAACAAGGCTTGATTTCTCAACAAGATAAAATGTAGCTTGGTTATCTGAAGACAACAGAAAATTCTACCTGTAATCTTGAAAGAGTCGCTTTAAAACAGAAATGCTGATGTGGCCTTTCTCAGCTTCTGTAAACGAGCCTTCATGCCTTGATAACAAAAATAATGATGCTCACAGCTTGTTCCCAAATGTTTAGCTCTTCTCAAGGAATTCATTCATGAGTCAGGGCTGAAGCTGCACACTCACGCTCTACTTAGCTAGCAGTTAGCATGCGACGTGATTAAATAAAACCCACAGAAGGCTCTTCGAGAAGCTAAGCTGTTGTGTGTTCAGACAGAAGTAGAAGAAAAAGAGAACGTGAGAAAATGTGTGAGCGTTTTAAAGCGAGCTACCCTGCTGAAGAAACCAGCGTGTGTTGCGTTTTGGATGCTGCTATGCTAGTCCAGCATGGGATGCTGTTAATTGGATTCTGCACATGCATGCTAGACAAGCTTCTCATTCTGGACCAGCATCTAAAACAACATGAGCTGGTTTTTCAGCAGGGTGAGAGCTGAGCTAGTTAGCAGTAGCTGCTAAGAGGTGACACATCAGGTGGTGAGATCCACAAATGCCTGTTATTAGTTTCCAGAGCGTGTTGGTTTGGGGGAAACGGTTTTATTTAAATGCGCATCTTCATCACTGAGGCTTTGAGGAGCACAAACTGAAACAGCAACAATATGGCCACATTGTAAACGGATGGCAGACGCCCACCGTTAGCTAAAATGTAAGAAAACAGCAAGGTGGTGGTGGAGATCGGAGGTAGCTCAGACAACGATGGTTCTGCTTTTTGTTCTAATCGTTGCAAAATATCAAAAACTCTTCTTTACTAGCAGATGTTTCCATTTCCTCAGTCACAGATGTTAGTGAGAAGGTGTTAATCAATTTCCCTCTGGAATTAATAAAGTATTTTTGAATTGAATTGAATTGTCTGAGTCCTGACGTCTGCTCGTGGACATGAATGAGTTTGTCAGATCCTGGACTCCTGTCCTGCTCCCTCCTGGGCTCCCTGCAGGTGCCGCTGGGACAGGATGTGTTTCAGCGTGTCCAGCTCCTGGGTGAGCTGTCCTATCTTCATCTGCAGCTTCTGGTTTTCCTCCTGCAGCTGCAGGGCCCTCTGCTGGGTCAGCAGGATCCTCCTGCGGGCCTTGTCCCGGCTCTTCCTCACAGCGATGTTGTTCCTCTCACGCCTCAGCCGGTACTCTGCGCTATCTTTGCTGATGATCCTCTTGGTCACCGGGGCTCGGAGGGTGGGCAGCAGGAAGGAGGAGAAGTCCTGGGGTGAGAAGATGTTTAAGTAAAAAGGAAGCAGATTGACTCTGATAACTACTCTCCCGTCTCACGCCGTGATCTCACCTGCTGAGGGCTGACGGGGCTCTGGTGGTGGTTGGAACTGACAGAGTTAGAGGTGCTGCTGGGACAGGAAGTGGTGTAGGACATGTACGGCAGTCCCATCATCTGCTCGACCACTCTGTCCTCAACACCCCTCCTTATAATCCCCTGAGACTGGCCATATGACAGCATGTCCATCTGAGACATCTGGGCGCTTGACTGGACTTGACTGGAGGAGACGGGACTCAGATTCTGACCCGGATAGGAGTTCACCCACTCCTGGATGACAGAGGAAACCCGGGAATCAGACATCTGGAGGATTTCGGAAGGCAGAATGAGACCAAACTATCACAAACAATACACTGTTTATATTTATTCATTTATTCTTTTTTTTTTCTTGTTTTGAATTAAATTAAAACTTAAAAGCATTTTTAGGGATTAAAGAGCTTTACAATAATAATCTCCACATCATTATTTTTTATTAAAAAATTGCTTTGGGGCTAAGTTTTTGAACGATTAAAAGCGATTAATATTATTTCATTACAAATCATCTAATTAGATAAATTTTTCCCTCTCACACACACACACTGTGTGTAAAAGTAGATTTACAGTATTATCCTAACAAAAAGTGTGGGAAAACTGGACGTAAAAAAGATTAACGTAGCAAAAATGTCTTTATGACTGAGTTTTGTGTGTTTATCTGGTCTTTTGGATTTGAAAAATGCTCAATTTATTCAAAGAAATCAATAAAGTAACTATTATTATTATTATTATTATTATTATTATTATTATTATTATTAAGAAGAAGAAAAACAATTATCAAAAGTTGTTTGTGTAAAAAGTGCAAAAAGAACTACTCTAAATTATTATTATTCATTTATATTTAATCATATTCCTTATTGTCCCAAAATCATAAGAAATTCTGAGAATGTTTTTGTTCCTGGTTTAGACATCAAAGAGTTAATATTTTATCTGCCACAGCTCACAAAAATAAATGTTTCTGTATTTTTTTTTTTTTAACTGAGGCAGGAAAAAATAGTTTAAAAGCTTCCGTTATACAGACAGATACAATCCTGGTTAGGTACAGAAAAGAAAACCTTTCGTCAACACAAGCTTGCAAGTGATAATCTGTCATTTCAAGAAAATTCACAAATAAATAGTTTAATGATGTGTGAAAGGCAGATTAACCCTGAGTGTTGCTGTTCGATTAAAGCATAATCTGAATTTAACATCAAATATATCATTTAAGGGGAAATTTACATCTTTACCCTCCTGGCACTAATATGGACAGAAACTAGTGGACATTAAGAGTGTAAAATATTCTAATGTATTAAATAATTTAACTTAAGTATTTCCATGTTTATTCTCAACATTCAGATAAATTTTTATCCATTTCATGTTGCCTTCTTTAAACAAACACTTGGTTTGTTTTTATTTAGTGTCCAAAGTCTTAATTTTGTTCTTTAAATTTTAATAAAGTTGAAGAAAAACTCACCATGATTTAACTCTTCAGTTCTAGACCGTCTGAGTGGAAATGCCCTGAAAGACAGGAGGCTGTCAGGCAGGTACCCCTCTGATTATCACATCATCACTTCCTCTGTCTGTCTCTCTCTCTCTCTCTCTCTCTCTCTCTCTCTCTCTCTCTCTCTCTCTCTCTCTCACACACACACACACACACACACACACACACACACACACACACACACACAGAGAGAGAGAGAGAGAGAGAGAGAGAGAAATTGTCCTTTTCAGGAAAATACTGCCTTCATTCCAAATACTGCCTTCTGTTCATGCAAAAGTTTTAATAAGCTAATAAAATCTAATATCAGAAACATGTCCACGTTGGACAGTTTACAATATTTTATTTAAAAAAAATTATTTAAATACGGTGGTGCAAAAAGGTATTTAGTCAGCCTCCAATAGTGGAAGTTCTGCCACTTAGAAAGATGAAAGGCTTGTAATTTTCATAAGTATACCTCATAAGAGACTAAATCAGAAGAAAAATCCAGAAAATCAAATGATCTCATTTTTGAATAATTTATTGCAAATTATGGTGGAAAATAAGTTTTTGGTCAATAACGAAATTCCATCTCAATATTTTTTATATACCCTTTGTTGGCAATGACAGAGGTCAAAAGTTTTCTGTAAGTCTTCACAAGGTTTACACACACTTTTGCAGGTATTTTGGCCCATTCCTCCATGCATCCCTCTAGGGCAGTGATGTTTTGAGGCTGTCGCTGGGCAACACTCAACACCCTCCAGAGATTTTCTGTGGATTTGAGATCTGAAGAGTGGCTAGGCCACTCCACAAAGCCACTCCTTCATTACCCGGGTGGTGTGTTTGGGATCATTGCCAAGCTGAAAGACCCAACCATGTTTCATCTTCATTGTCCTTAACGATGGAAGAAGATTTTCACTCAAAATCTGACAACACATTGCCCCATTCATTCTTTCCTTTACATGGATCAGTTGTCCTGATTTCTTTGCAGAAAAAACAGCCCCTTAGCATGATGTTTCCACCCCCATGCTTTATAGGATATGGTATTCTTTGGATGCAACTCAGCATTCTTTCTTCTCCAAACATTTAGAGTGGAGTTTTTAACAAAAAGTGCTATTTTGGTTTAATCTGACCTAATTATATTCTCCTAATCCCCTGTGTAGTTCTGATATTTTTGCTCACTGTTCTTGTCATCATTTTGACCCCACGGGGTGAGATCTTTTAGCTGGAGTCCCTGATGGAGGGACATTATCAGTGGATTTCTTCACACTGAGCTGCTTACCTTTTGCAGAATCAGTCTTTCCAGCCTGATGCAGGCCTATAATTTTGTTTCTGGTGTCCTTTGACAGCTCTTTGGTCTTGGCCTTAGTGGAGTTTGGTGTGACTGTTTGAGGTTGTGGGCAGTTGTCTTTTATACTGATATCGAGTTCCAACAGGTGCCATTAATACAGGTAGAGTGGAGGACAGAGAAGCGTCTTACAGAATAAAGTAAAGGTCTGTGGGAGCCTGAAAATGTGCTTGTTTGTAGGAGACCAAATACTTATTTTCCACCATAATTTGCAAATAAATTCTTCAACAGTCAGACAATGTGATTTTGTTTTCATCTCGTCCTTCTCTCATAGTTCAGATTTACCTATGGTGAAAATTCCAAGCCTCTCATCTTTTTAAGTGGGGGAACTTGTACAATTGGTGGCTGACTAAATACCTTTGTACCCCACTGTATTTGCACCATTTAACCGGTCTGACTTTCTTTCTCTTTGCTTTGAAACGTGTCTTCTGTCTCTCCGCGGCTTCCGTAGATGTGCTGGTATTAAAATGGCTGCTTTGGTTGACAACGTGAGTTGATCCCGGCTAACTATTCAGAAACAAAGCGCTTTTAACACTCAATTTGACTTGTTTTCTCTTACATTCTTGATAATTAATGATTATATTGAAACTCTCCTTACTTTGTGAGTAAAAGTTAGCGGAATCATTTGTTTTTTAACTAGATTTGTTAAGCTAGCTGCGGTCACACACCGTCTCCTTTAGCTATTCCTTCCTAATGTTTACAGAATAAAGACTCGTTTTCTGACTTGTGATTAAACATTTACAGGATTTAATCCAGAGGGATTTGCCCAAAGCTGTCGAGTTGCTGAATAATCTCACAGAGCAGGTACGAAAACAACGCCTAGCTTTATATTATGATTTCACGTGACACATTAATATTTGTGATTACAGCTTAATTAAATAGTCACGTGTTTTACCTATTGAGTCGTAACGGGTTTTAAAATAGTAGCAGGAGTGTAAATATAAGGGATAATGTAGTAAGGCTACAGTATTGTTTGTTTTTGGTGTTTTACTATTTATTAGTTATAATCAGATTGCTTCATTCTGGGTTTAATTTCAGGTCGTCTCAGTCACCAGCCACGTCCGTGATCTGCTCACCAAAGTTAAAGATGGCGCGTTTAAGACCTCCAAGGTAAGAAAAGGTCCATCTTAATCTGCAAGGAGGCTTTTGTGTGCATTTGACCCATCTACCATCTCGCCCTGCAGGGTTTGTCCTTCTTGGATCTTCGCTACCATCTGCTGCTCTTCTATCTTCAGGACCTCACTCACCTGATGTACATCAAGATGCAGGGAGGCAAAATCAAAGACAGCGATGCTTTGAGCCGGGTGGTCACAATCAGAACTGTGAGTTTGTTCGTCTGAGGAACCACTCCAGCTTACCTGTTCAAAAACGAGGGCTTTAACTCTGTACTCTTAAAGGTTTTGGAGAAAATGCGACCCTTGGATCACAAACTGAAGTACCTGATTGACAAACTGCTGCGTACAGCTGTCACTGGTAGCTTAGGTAAGACCCTGAGTCGTTTCCTCTACCTGAAACCTCAGATTAGAATGAATGTGACTGAGAATTAACTGTTTTCAGCTGAAAATGACCCGCTGCAGCTGCGTCCAAATCCTGAGAACCTCGTCAACAAAGTAAGCTCCCCCTTATGAGGCACCGCGGCCATATTTATCTTGTTTGGATATTTTGTGGTGAGGCAAAAACTAAATGATAAATGTTCATCTAGCTGGGTGAATCAGAGTCTGAAGACGAAGCAGGAAACGAATCAACCAGTGATATGAAAGCAGCCCACCCAAGTAGCAAGAAGTATATACCACCAAAGATCGCTCCAGTGCATTACGGTAATGTTTGTTTATTGTATTGGATAAGGACAGAGATCATCAACCATCTAACCCTCCTGACTCTTGTCCCCCTCAGACGGCGATGTGACAGAAGCAGACAGGAAGAAGGCGCACATGGAGCGGCTGCGTCGGGCTGCTCTCAGGAGTTCTGTGATCCAGGAGCTGAGGCAGCAGTACAGCGACGCTCCCGAGGAGATCCGAGACAGGAGAGACTTCCAAAGTGAGAGGCAGAGCCGTGATGAACTCCAGAGGTTAGTGGTTGGCTTAACAGGTTCATGCTTGGTGTGTCTGGTTATTCAGAGTCATTAACAGCAACTCTTCTGGGCAGGAAACATTATGAGGAGTCGATGATGGTACGTCTGAATGTGCCAAAGCACCAAAAGAATGCCAGGAAGAGGAGCACGATGGCCATGTCTGGTCAGCTGAGCGGCATCACACACTTCAGTGACATCACAGCTCTGACTGGCGGCGAAGGACCGGTGTGTTTCTGCGGTTCAACATGAGCATCTGCTGTTCAGGCTAGACATAAGTCCAGTCCAAACTTCGGGTGAAAATTGTAACACATTTAATCCGATGCAGGATGGGGACAGCTCCCGACCCAAGAAAAAGAAGAAACTCATGAAGAAGAAAACAAAAAGAAGAGGTAAGAACATTTAAAATCTTGTCAGTGTGACTACCAAGAGCCAAACTACTAACACCCAGTTACTGCTTCTCCTCTGCAGCCTTTAAGAAGCATCGATAGGATCTAAATGTGGAGTTTGACCGTGTCGGAGCACCAGGTGGCCTGGAGATTCAACTTTTCTTCCCATATCTAAGCTGGAGCATTTTTCTGCTGTGATTAATAAATTCTTGTCAGATGTTTCTTTGAAGCTGTTGCACTTTGTGTCCACTAGAGGGCAGTCATGTTCAAATAGCTCTGCTATTAAAAAATTTTTCAGGAATTCTGGGTTGCACAACTACCTCAGCCTTCTGAAGGAAATCTTTAGTTCATTATCCTGGACTTGTAGACAGGAGTAGAAGCTAAATGAACTTGCTCTCATATATTCACATAAAAAAGATGGCTTTCCAGGCTCATTTCTTTCCCAACAATAAGACCATTCCAGTAGTCTTTAAACATCTGCAGAAATGGCCAGATGTGCAGCTTGCTGCTCATTTCCAGAGGCAGCAGACTTTGAGGCGTTTTAATAACTAGTGTTTCAATTTCTGGTTCCAGTGAGCTAACACACAGCAACAGATCAACACTTCTACCAAAGCTCTAGGAATGAAAACTCAGTCTCATTTTTACACAATGTCTTTATTATTTTTTTTTTTCTAATTACAGACTCATGGGTTAAAAATAAAAATAAAAAAGCAAAACATTTGTTCAAACCCACTCCCCCTTTTCAAAAAGAACAGAAAAGAGTCTCTGGACAAACCCCACCCCCTGACTTTCCCCACCCTAAAAACAGCTCCAGCCCACTCCTTAGTATTTCATTTTTTTTTATTTAACCAATGCCGTTAGCTTGTCAGCCTTTCTCAGACGAGCCGTGACTGCACTGCGCTGAGTCGGAGAAAGGGGGCACCTTAAGGTCTGCTCTGCTCATCCCAAAAAACCCACCCTACTCTCCGGCCCTGCCTTCCTGCCTTTAGCTGCGCTGCTCCAGCTCCCTGTGTAGAAATCATGTTGGCTGGCTGCCGTCTGTACTGCTGTGGTGGATTGTGTGTGTGTGATTGTGGTTGACAATGTGTTGAACTTTTTGAAGTGTGAAGAACTAAAAAGCATCGTCAGCGTTTGCTGTTGTAGTAAATGCCCCCGGTGGTGGGCCGGTGGTCGCCCTGCCCCCCACCCCCCCACACTGACAGGATGGGGTGAGTGTGCATAGCGGGAGCAGAGAGAGACAGAGATGCTGCGGAGACAGTGGGGGGGGCCGGCGCCACCTGGGGAGGGGTTGTCAGCCTCCACTGGTCCTGAAACCTGAAACGACAAGAAGTGGTCTAATATACAGAGAGAGGAGGGGAAGGGGGGTGGAGAGATGGAAGACAAGGTGCACAGAGGAGGGGAGGAGGGAGGGGGAGAACAGAAGACAAGGACCCCCCACCCCCCAAAAATAACTTAAAGGCTTTGGCCGAGCCAGAGCTGGGGGGAAGTGGAGAAAAGACCCCCCCACAAGTTAAGACCAACAAGAACGAGTTAATCTAAAGGTCCAGAGATCAGTGAATCGAACCAAAACAACCCATGGTGTGATGAACAGGGTGAAAACGGGGGAGGGGGGAGACAACAGTTGACACAAAGGGGGTGAGAAGGGTAATGATGAACTCCACACAACAAGATTACACAACAAATACTCAGAAGTACTTCAACTTTCACACAGCTGCTGTTTTACATGGAGGTACTAGAGCTTGTTGCACCCCCTCCCTCCCCCCATGGTGGTGGAAGGTGAGTGGGTGGGCTGTACTGGTGATGGTGTGAAAGCAGGTGGTCACAGCCAGACCAAAGGAGACACATCTGCAGCCTGAGATACCATCTTTTCTTTTTTTACCCCCTCCCTTCAAAAGCAACAAAAACAGTAACTGCCACTGCCCCCCCCGCCCCCCCAAACAAATACCTTACCAGGTGTGACCGCATCAATCTGCACACGCACGCTCTCACACTATCTCACACCACGGCCAGTTTCTCTGTCCAGGAGGATCCCCCCCACCCCCTCTCATTTTTGTCTTTTTTTTTTTCTTTTTTCTTCTGTGGTGTTCTTCTTTTATTGGGGGGGGGGGGGGGGCTGTGTGTGTGTGTGTGTGTGTGTGTGTATGTTTATTTGTAATGAAACAGATGGTGGGAGGGTTGATAGTAAGGGAGTATTGGGGGGTGTTTAGTAAGGGGAATACCACGATGTTGTTCGCCCTCGGCCCCTGGAAAAGAGAGAGAAAAAGAGGGTGAGTTTTTTCTGTTTGGCTTAAAGAGATGGACACCAATTGTTTCTGGTGTAGTATAAAGGTGTGTGTGTAGATTTAGGCTGAACGGGGTGAGAACGTGTGTCTCGATGTTAAACAAGAACAAAATGTTTGGGAAAACTTCACAAATCACTTAAATGGACAAACTATGTTAAAGGTCTGGAGCTGCATGTAGCAAAGTGGTGAAAAGAGCTGAGAGCAGCTTTTCAGGAGAGGAAAGTGTTTAATCTGAAGATGTCAGGTTAGTGTGTGGGGGTGTGAGGGGGACAGCAGAGGCACTCTCCCTCTTTCTCTCTCTCGGTCTCTCTCTGGGAGAGACACCACTGGGGTCACTGTGGGAAAGACCTGGAGGACAAACAGCACCACACATATACGCCTGGCAACAGTATGTGCATGTGCGCACACACAAGTGCACACACACACACACGCGCGCACACACAATTGGAGGCTTGAGTCACAACTGCAGCATTATTCCAAACTCAGACAAAAGGACACAAATGCCAGGCGCGCGCGCGCGCACGCACACACACACACACACACACACACACACACACACACACACACTTAGTGGCAACAGGACAAAAAAGTGTCCACTGGGACAGAAGGTCCAGATGCCAAGGTCAGGCTGCAGTAATGAACCTTTGTTTCTGGGAGTGAACGCAGAAAACTCAAAACATAACTGGATGATGTGTGTGTTGTGTGAACAGAGGTTCATGTCCATGCAAGGACACACACTAATGTGCATGCGCACACATCAAATCTTCACTTGGGAGGATGATAAGTTACTGGCTGTAACTTCAGTTATTGGTTTGAACACTTGGAGCGACCTTGATCTGAAAAGCCAATATGAAGCTAGAGAACCAGCTGAAATCTTCCCAAGGTCAGCACAAAGATTTGGATGTGGATCATCTTCCCAACAAGACAAGGCACTGGTGAGGTGTGTTTCATGGCTGTGGGTTAAACAGGAAATAGACCTTCTGAAATAAAACACAAATACAGTTTCACCCTCCTAACGGGCAGCTACCCATCAGTTTCCATGCTTGGAAGTTTTTTACATTTCATTTCATCTGAGTGTGTCTTGTCCTGCAAAGTGGACCAAATCCAAGTGAGGAAACTGGCAGGGTTAGGCCTTCTTGGTATGTGTGTGTGTTGTGTGTGTCCGATTAGATTTTGACCTTGAGGTTCAAACATTTTCTCAAACACACACACAAATGAAGCCATGTTTGCAGAAAGCTCTGCTAAATAATCTGGTAAAAAGGAATAAGCTCAAAAACATGATAAAACTGACATTTGAGGTTTAAAATGAGAAACTGGCAAACTGATGAGGGCTTCAGCATGAGGTGATAAAGGAGCGTTAAAATCAGAGTGTGTGTGTGTGTCAGTGAATACAGGATGACTCCCGCTCTGCTGTCAAGTTTAATCCAACCACTTCTGAGATGTAAAAAAAAAAAAAAAAAAAAAACTACCATAGGGTAAGGTTGGGAGATTTAGAAAAATGTTCTGGGCGACAGTGATCAGTCTAAAACACGATAATGGGCGGTATGTTCATGCAGGAGATGTTTAGATGTTGCACGGAGCTCTCCATTAATCACAATCCTTCTTACTCAGGTTACAGAAGCAAGCCACTGCGGTTCCACATCAGATCTTGTTTTCTAAATTTCACCGGCTAATTGATGAGCAGATCAACTATTATCACGTGTGTAGTGAGAACCAACTGCAGCACAGTTTAAGAGGGCGGTACTTCTGACCTGTTAGCCAATAACTGATGAGCTGGGGGGGGGGGGGGGGGGGGGCTGTAACCCTTTACCTATTGGTTCAGTAATGTCAGTAAAACGTTTGAAGCTAGCATTGGGATGCTAACGGTTATCAGAGATGCATCTGGAGGAACTTTTGAATGTTCTCCGTGGTCTACCATGTTGGATAGTGACTTGTTATGGACAGACGCTTTTGCTGGAGTTCTCTTATTGGACTCCTGGATGTAAAAAGGTTGTTCTTGTTGGACATGGCTCTAATCTGCTGATGACACGAGGCGTTGAATGGAGAGTTAGAGGTTGTTTTGAATTTCTGAGTGGCCTGACAAAAGCGTTTCCTGTGAAATGATAAATTATAACAGTCTTAATACCATAAACCTAGCATTTCTAAAAGAAACTCTGAAGCACTAAGGAGTAAAGGTGGAGCCCACTGGACTCGTTAAGTTTGGATACCAGAATCCACACAAACCACCCTGATCAACAGCTGCTGTTTCCTGTCAGCATCAACGCTCTAAAAGACAACCCCCAGCCAGCGGCACAAGCAGAGCGGTGAGTTAACAACGTGAGTGGCGAGGAGCACCACATCAGTTTGCCTTTATGATCAAATGTGATGCAGCATGAATGAGATCCTTAAGCAGGCTGTGTGTTTATATCTTTACAAATCTGAAACCCACCTGAGCTAATCCTGCCTTAGCTCTAGACAAGTATTCGTCACGCTGGTGACTCTGGTCTGTCGTGTGCTGGCCTACATAAAAACAGCTTCATGCCCATTCTTGGGTCGGAACCAAGCCTGCTCTTGGTCCTGTGCTCTTTCCATTCAGGGTGAGTGAGATGTATTACATGCAGGTGGTGTGTTCTTCCCCAGGTCTGAAGGCAAATTGTCTCAGCGACAGCTCACCTGAAGGCCCGTCCTCTGCCTCTGGGTGGTGGCGTGTAGCCACTGTAGTAGCGTGCACGCGAGGAGAAGTTGCCTCCTCGTGATCGGAACCGACCCCGTGGAAAACCGCGATCTGTGGTGCTGATGCCCGGTCTGTTTGTTCTCTTAGCGCCCACCTGAAGACAGTTTAGACATTCAAAGCTCAAGACTCGTGGACTGAGTGAAAACATGGCAACAGAAACGTCATTCGGTCAAAATGTTTTCGTAATGACAAAAAATATATATACACTTTAAAGACAATCTTTTAAAGTGTAATGGTGTTTTGGTTAAATGTCTGATGAGAATAACTCATGCACACAGGACCGTTATTTGGCCTGTAATTAAACTAAGTTCAAATATCTAATTATCAAACAAAACTATGTAAAAATCAGAAACCTTCTAAAATGAGTGATTTCTTCTTTGCATTAATTAATAAACAAACTTTAGATTGCTACTGAAATCTGCACTACCAATGATACGACTGTGGACGTGGCTAACGTTTGGTTTTAAAACCCTGAACATCGCGGACCTTGTGTTTGATAAATGCCACAGAAATGAGACGAAAGCAAATCCTGAACTGACCAATTTGGGCCCTCATTCATCAACTGTACGTGCACACAGATCTGTGCATATTTCATGCGTAGGAAGTGTTTCACACATTGTGTGCTATTCACCAATTGCATTTGAGTGTAGAAATGGTCCTAAAGAGTTCAGACCATGCGTACAAACAGCATCTCGTGGTAGAACTGGGGAACCACAACACTGCTATTCTCAGTCACCCACTCCTGTTCACCCTTCCACTAATTATTTTACTCAATAAGTAAATGATGTCTGGAGAATCATCAAATAACTGGTGTTAAACCAGGTTTATATTCTGCACAAAGACACGCAACGCCATTGTCCGTCTTTGCGAGGGCTCTCAAACAGGCTCGCAAGCCCACTTTTCTATGCAAGCTTGTGATTGGCCAGGATGTTACTTCCTTTTAGTCAACAGCACCGTCATTGCCCCTTCATAAGATAAAGAGCTGAAGATATCTAGCGGCAGACACGGAGCAGCTTGAAGAATATCTCACGGAAAAACTCTGAAAATAGGAACATTTTAATCACCCGTGACTGGAGGAGTATCATGATACACAGCCAGCGTTCTATTCGTGGATGGAAATGACAGGAAACGTGGGTTTAGAGGTGGCGAGCGAGCGCATGACAAGGTGGAGGAGAATATGGGTCAAAATTGCCTTTGTTAAAAAATCTCTAAAACACAAAAAACACAATAGTAAATACATTATTTTGGACTGGATACACGACAGGATGCCCCAGAAAAGTGCTACGCCCTCTGTAGTCCCGGCGAGAAATTGGTTTGCAACACTCCCCAGGTGGCGGAGAAGTTTGAATGAAAAACATCTCCGTCAATGCGCATTTGTCTCTCCCTCATGGAGCTGAGGCAGAAGCATAACCTATGCATTAGAACCGATAGACACCTGTGATCGGTCGAGGATTTGGCAGAGCGTGCGCACGGAGGGTACACGTCTTCCGTGAGCACACTGATCTGACTCCTGAAGGAGATCCTATGTGATTTAGGACCCGCTGTGGAGCGATGGACAAACCGCACGAATCTGCTTCCTGTCCATTTTCAATTAGCCAGAGCTTCCATCTCAAGTTTTCTGGGAGGAATGCAGGGAATCCCCTGATGAGTCCAGGATGTGGTCTGACCAAATATGGTTAACTGAGAGAGTTTCTGTATGTAAATGACTGAATGGACACGAGTACCCAGGTGCGATCCATCAGCAGATGTAGGGCGGAGCGATCTATCGTTTTTGGACCGAAATTGCGATTTCAAACAGCACAATCACATGACCATCAAAGCTGCGGTTTTAGCGGCTTTGACTGATCCAATATCAGTTGTGTAACTTTTTTTTTTTTTACATCTGGGGTTTTCCCCGTGTTATGACTGCGGCAAAAGCCTGCGCGGGGGAGGGGGGTGGGTGCACCGTCCAGAGCCGAGCCCAACTCCACAGCTTGACAGAGCTGCATGTTCAGGTTATTTTCCCTGTTTTATGTTCCCACACACAACACTGCTAGAGCCGATGATAATGGCACCGTAGGTGAGCCCGGGACAGAGAGAGCGAGAGAGAAAACGTAGCCGAGTAAGGGAGACAGAGGCTCCTCCCACATCAGAGCAGGTTCAGGCTGATTTCTAAAGCTTGGTTTATGCTTCATCAGAGCGAGTGCAGAGTCGTGCACTTTAGAAAACTTGAAAGCTCAACTTCTCTTTTAAAAATGGTTTGAATGTTTCTGACGGCACACGTTAGTTCAAACAAGCTAAGGTGTCAGAATGAGTGCATCTCTCACGGAACTGACGTTTTAGTGAGGAAAACTATCAGACGGCTTCGAAAACGTGCAGCAGCCTGCCTTGGTAATGCAGGGAAAACTGTGTTCGTTTTGTTATTTAATACGTTTAAAAGCTATTTCTACCTACAGATTTCCTCCATGCATTTTTGGAGTAGAACATGTTTTTTTATCTAGAACATGTTCTAGATAAAAATCACAAGCACAAGTTGCTTCACAAACACATAAACAAAAAAGATAATAATAGGAGAAAATATTAATAGCTTTAATTGTTCTTATTGTATGATTAAATAGTAAATAATGTGAATGATTTGTTGTACTAGATTAGAATCTAGACCATCTTTTCACTTAATCTAAAGGATGGCTTGGCAGGCTAATGTTGGACCTTTGTTTGCAGAAAATCGTGCATTGAACCGAAATCGCAATTTCTGCTAGAAAAATTGTAATTCAATCTTTTCCTAAAATCCTTCAGCCCTAAGCAGACGATTGCAGAGAAACGTGCGTCCGAGTGACCACCGCATGATTCCTAAATCAGGATTTCTAGGAAGGAATATAGGACAGTTTCTATGAATGCTTGATTAACGAGGGCCGTGGCCTGAATTTGAGACAATCACATTTTAAACTTGTAACCTTGTTTTATACGTTTGACACACGTCAGCGACTTGTTTAATGTACTCTCCTGTTGCCGTCTTTTCTCTGGTGCATTCCCGTTAAACCTCCCAGGAGGACGAGCAGAACTATTTAACGCTTCAGCCATAATTCTGATCACATGGGGATAATCTCATTTCTGCTTCCCATTACAGGGCAAAAGGTCGCATGCCTCCTTTTACTTTTTAAACACAACACTCTTGTTGCTGTAAAAACAACTTATGAAGATGTGAAGAAACCCAACAAGTTAAAAAGGGAAGGGCTGAGCTAAGATCTCACCTTAATCTGCCTTCCTCTGAAGAGAGACTCGTCCAAAGCCATGGCCGTTCTAACAGACTCTTTATCTGCAAACTCAATATAAGCAAACCTGCAGAAGAGGGACAAACAGAATCAACAACCTGCTTTACTCCACATCTAATTATTATCAGTTTATAAATGAAAAACAAAGAATTTTGTTTTACACAAATTTATATAAGCAACTTGAACCACTGTTTAATAAATTAAGCTAATACGTGGTCTTTTATGCAAAAATATTACTTAAACCACCGCTCCATTATTTGAAATATTCTCCTATAAAACATCTTCATGTATTATTTTTTCGGCCGGGACTTAACGCGTTAATTATAATTAATTAGAAAAAATAACGTGTTAAAAAATTCACTCGTTTAATCGCAGCTTGCATTTCGAGCACGGCGGAACCTTTGTCATTGCAAGACTTCCTCATAGACAGAATATCACTGACGCACACAACAATGCACAGTGCTAAAGGCTACTAAACGGAATAAAAACAGAAAGAAGTTGCCTTTCTTGGACTGATGCAGGATTTAGGAAACACACCCGCCTCTTTTCTTAACTTGAAAAAAAAAAACTTCCAGACTACAACGGAGTCCGTGTCGCAGACATTTTTCAGAGATCGTCTGCTGCCCGGTGGCACCGGAAACTTTGCAAAAGTAGCGGTAAGCTATATTTTTAACATTTACGTAACATCTGTGCAGCGCAGAACGCACCAGACAGAATAATTCTGTGCCCTAACAGTAGTTTATGAAAGTAGTCAGACAAACGAGAGGCACCTGGCTGCCGCTGGGAGAACGCTCCGTGTTTTCACTACTCTGTAAACAATCACAAACAACGTGTCTTAAAGTTGAAAACAGAAGCTTAAGTTAAAACAGAAACACTAAAACTTTTCTGATGATTTTCTAAACAGTTCTGTTGGGGAATTACATGTTTCTGAGACGAGTCACTGTCTAAACATCATCGCATGCATTACTATCATTAAGCAGCAGGTGTGTTGAAGCTGTCATCAGCTAAGGGGCGGATGCTTTAGTGCATCGGGGGCAGCGAGGAATGAGGAAGTTGTGTTCAGGCTGGAGATCACACCAGATTCGCTGCTGCAGGCGTGAATCTGCGGGTCTGCAGCATCCCCTTATTAACGTAACATCAGGACTTCCCATGTAAGGAAGGTCCGCTCACCTGTTCGTCAGATCATTATTTCCTCGCCATGATCTTTTATCTTCCCATCAACCTCCAGTCATCCAACTGGAACCAGTTAAGTGTTCCTGATCACTCTCAGAATATGCCATGCCTACTCTGGTGTTAAAAGTTAGTACATTTAAGTCCTAGATCATATTAGTGCCTGTTCTACTGTCATTTTGAAGGATTATTATTTATATGTGTGTTTTTACTACATTATGAGTAAAAATGCTAATAAAAACTCTCAATTATGCAAACAAGTGAAACTGGAAAAATTAGAATCTGGTGCAAAGTCAAATTTATAGACAGAGAGACTATTTAAAGGCTCAGGAACCCTTTGCAGGTGTTTTCTATTTGTAATTATAAATTTTAGTTGATTTGGGTTTTGTTTCATATCACACGGAGACATTTGAATAACTAAAATGCATTTTTTTTATTAAAAGCTTTAGTTAACAGTAATAACCATTAGAGCTGAGGAAAATAATCAAATAATCGATGCATCGGGATGCGGACATAAACGATTCTGCATCGTAGAAGAGTACGCCATTATCGATTATAGTGGAATGTAGTTTTGTTTTTTTAACGGCGGCACCAGCGCAGCATCCAAATCTGTCAGAGTGAGTCTCCTCCACAATTACAAAGTGGTTCTGCCTTAATGTGGTACTGCAAGGCTGAGCGCTAGAGTTGTAACCTGAGACCGAACCGGAGCCGAATCAGCCCGACCGGTTCTGTTGGATTTGGGCCGTGAATTAAGTTAATTGAGCGGGTTGTCGTGCGGCACGCTCCGCTCTCTCGCACAGCAACTGAGAGAGAGAGAGAGACACTGTCTGCTCAAACAAGAGAGAGGATCGGAGGATGCTCCTCCAAACACGCATTATTATTTTCATAATTTAATTATTATTTCTCCTGGAAGCGCTCAGTCAGACTGCTTGTTGTAATGTAGGGAGATCCGGTCTTGGGGAGGGGTCAGTGACGGCGGCTGCAGCGTGATCGTCTGTCTCTTTTATTTAAGGACACGGAGAAGTTAAAAGGAGAGAGAAATAGAAGATAGAAGTTCTTGTACCACTTTATTCTTTTGTTTCATGAAGATAAACTGATGTTAAATTCAGCTGAAAGAGAAAATGGGAGGAAGCTTTGGTTCATTTTAAGTTACAGGAGATCTTGTCTCCTATCTGCTCCTCCAGAGACAGCATGGACATGAGGGTTACATGGTGAGGGTCACACAGGACAGGTTAGTGGAAAGGTTTGTAGTTAGCTGGTTAGTGAAGGAGATCCATAATTTAATCCTAATCCAGCCCACAGCCTTCTGCTGGTGTTATTATCAGAAAGAATAAAACTCACATCTTAAATATTATTGAAGTGTAGAATTTGTTTTATGTTTTATCATTTTCTGCATCAAACAGAACTTGATTCATTCTCCAACATTTCAGAAATGAACCACTGGGTTCAAATAAAATAACAAACTAAGTCAAACATTTCATTTGGTGTTATTTCTGACACCCATCAACTGTGGCATAAATAATGGACTCTAGAGCTGCTCAGAGACATTGAACACTCATATATGAACCCATTATGGATTTTTTTATTACATTATGTGGCCTGTAGGTTTTCACTATTTTTTTAAGATTTTGTGAGTTTTTGCAAAGCGTGTTTTTCTCAGCCTGAGGCGTGGTGTTGAACGAGGAAACGGATTGTTTTACTTTGTTAAATCTTCTTAAATGTTTAAAATGTTTTGTCCTAACCTGTCGTGAATAGAGAGCTTTTGAGGGACGGCAGGTTGTGTCAATTACGTTTTTGATAAAAAAATAAAAATAAAAAGCAATTATCTGACATCTTCTATTTATCGATGAAAACAAATCTTTATGAAATAATCGTGATGCATCGTGATATCTAATCGAATTGAATCGTTGACCCAATAATCGTAATCGAATCGGGAGACAAGTGAAGATTCACACCTCTAATAACCATGTTTAATGTTTGATTCTCTGTCTCATAATTTTTAATTAAAAGTTTTGCTTTGAGAGCACATTTTCCTGAACAATTAAAATGTGATTAATTTAGATTAATTAATTACAAAGCCTCCAATTAATTCAATTAAACTAATTAAAGTCCGAGCCCTAATTATTTTCTATAATTTCGATATTAGTCACCCCAGACATTTAAAAAACAAACAGTGTTTTACCCCTTGGGATGTCCCGTGTATTTGTCACACAAGATGGTGACTCTGTTTACTGATCCGCAGCCATGAAAGTGAGCCTCCAGCTCTTCTGCTGTGGCGCCATAATCCACCTGATGGTACAAGATAGAAAATAATAACCGTAAACCCATCAAATGTTTATAGATCTGACACACACACACACACGTGGGGTTAAGTAGTAACTGTTCACAAGTATTAATCAGCCCATCACATAGTAACGAGAAGCTGCTGAGGAGAGGAAGTGACCAGTGGATGCTGCTCCAGTTCATTCTGCCATCACGGAGACGCCTCATTTATACATCTGTGTGAAAAGGGCAGCAGCAGGTGTGTGAGAGTGTGTAACTAAAACACCCTGTAGGAGCAACAGGACTTCCTGCCACACATCCAACAAGAGTTGTCTGAATCAGTGATTAACACAAACTACAGTAAATCAGCAGAAATAGCCTCTCTTCCACTTTTCTATTTCAGTTACACAGAACACATGTAGTTTGTTCCGAGATCGAGTACCAACTAAAACTATTAGTGAGGTCTAAACACCCCACAGTTACATCTAAATAACAACGTAACCATACTGCTGAAATAGCCTTTGTATGAGACCGTTACTCACATTGCCGACATAAATAGATCTGCCATCTGCCTCCATTTTCTCCTCGATTGACATGATGACAGGACCAACTGTGAGGAGGAAGAAGTGTTTATTTCATCTTAAACTAAATGTTTAAATCAGAGTAACTTCAAAAACAGACCGGAATTAAGATTCTCCACCATCAGAACCTCACTAAACCAACCAGCTGTAGAATTCTAACCAACCTGCAGGACGACACACTTTCTGAGACGCAGATTGGATTCAGGTCATTTAACAGTGACCCTAACCCCACAACAGGCATTTAGTCTTTTACATTCTCACATTAAAATGTCTTAACAGTGACGGTGATCCATTAAAATACTGATATTAAACCAGTTTTCTCTTACTAAGGCTTGATGGCAGCCAGGCTGCAGCTTCTCTGTGGGATTACCATCTAGAGTTTAGGCTGGCATTTAACAGCAGGTTTCTCCAATCAAAGTTTAGCTGACCTGAAAGGTTTATCAGCACGACCCAAACCCACCATAACAGTAGGGCTGGGCGATATGGACCAAAACTTATACCTCGATATCTTTTTCCTGAATTCCGATATACGATATATATCTTGATATTTTTCCTCCTGTAAAATATTTACAAGTTAACTCACTTCAAGCTGTCTTGAAAAATTATATACATAAATCAGTAGATTAAATGCATGAAAATGTATTGATTCTTGTCAAACTTTAACCTTAGTGCCTATTCTCTACCAGTCTGAGCTTTAGAAACACAGGTACAGCTGTCTGTTAACATATACACACACAGTTGAGAGCTAGAGGTGTAGTAAATGTCCCACAGGCACTTTTTAATTATATATTTATAATTAATGTAAAATTATTTAAACTTCATCTAAAGATGGTCATATTGTATATTTCTTGTCCAGAGAAAAAAAAATCTTTCATGTTAAACTAAATAGGGCTGGGGTAAACGATTATTTTTAAAACAATTATTCTGACGATTATTTTATCGAATAGTCGACTATTCTAATGACTATTTAGACAATTAATCTAATGATTATTTTTCTATTGCACAGTTAATAAAAACCAAAAAATCTCTAATAAATTCCTCAGAAAAATTGATAAGTTGTTACTGTAAGAGAATAATCACTACAGGCCTTCCATTTTGTATAACACTGCTTTTATTTTGTTGCGGTTGGTTATGTTCTGGTGACATGTAGAACTTGGGAGCGCAGGCTGCTGCCTGAGAGGTGGTTGAAGATGGAGTGTCTCCATGCTGCTTTGTTTTGGTCACTTATGTGCGTGAGGCGAGTGGCGTTACGACCCTTCCTGGGGAGTTTGGCCCGTGTGCAAAAAGGAAGGGACAATAACACGGGATTTAAAAGTTAAAATGATGATCAGGTTTATTTACAACTACAAAAAAACAATCTTTCCATCCACAGGATGGGAATAATAAAACTAATTCTGCCTGTGGGGAATTAAAACAAAAGTACAAATAACTAGGGATGTCCCACTGGGCAAAGATTACTGGGTTCTGGACCAAAATATGGATCTCCAAAGGTCCAAACTCTAAACTGGGTGGTTAAACCAAACTCAAGGTGATATTTTAAACTAAACCGAAAACCCACAACACTCTAAATGTAATAAAAGGGAGATCTACGCCACAAAAAAAGATGAACTCTAAACCAAGGGGAGCACGGAGGGGAGACTGCTACCACCAAAACAGCTCTCCTAATGTCTGAAAGAAGCTCCTTTATGAAGGGAGAAACACTCCCGGTGATTTTCTACATCTGCAGTAGAGACGAAGCAGCGCATTTGACCCCGGAAGTTATCGTCTGTTGCCGGAGACGAAGGCGGGCAAAACAGGAAAGGAATCTAGTAGCGGGCGAACATTGTTCCAGAGAAGAGGGCGAACTAGAGGAAAAACAGGGAGATTCCACCTCTATTTACAAACTCCTGGGGATGCAACAAGTGCGTCGACTACCGGATCTGACGTCGACAAATTTTTAGAAATGAGCCGTCGACGTCATCGAGGCTTCGCTACAGCCCTAAGGATGATGTAATGCATCTACTGAAGATCACATGGGTCATACACCGTGGAGCTACTAGTTATTAGGGCAAACACGGCTGGACTCTTTAACAGTGTTGGCTCATATCAGCGATTATACTGTAATGACTCAGAGTCTCTGGTTGCTCTTTTATGAGTATTATTTTCAGGCTACTGTCGCCGTAACCCACACCTTACAAACTCTTAACTTTATCAAATGAATCGCTGTAAAGGACCATTTACTAGCATAGCAAACCAGAGTGGGAAAAACCCGGAACCGGAACAACATTTCTCACCCGTTGAGATCGCCTTCAAAACGTTTACCCTATAGTTTACTGTTCAAACCCTTACAATATGTTTGAGATAATTTGGCCACTCTGGCTATCCGTAGATGTTTCCTCTTTACACAGGGGAGGGAGCGGGTTGGCTCGTCTCTCTCTTCAGCTCCGCACAAGCTGGATGGAAAGCAGAACTCCATTGGCATTGAACATCCCCAAATAATTAAAAACCAGAAAGCCAAATGCAAAGTTTAGAGCAGCACATTTACCCAAAGGCTCTCAGATTGAGCAAATATGTGAGAATACACGTAATAGCTGCTTTAAGACAGAGCAACATGTCGCTAGCATAGCTGCTAATCGATAGCGTAGATGCTAATCGATAGCGTAGCTGCTAATCGATAGCATAGCAGTTTGACCAGTTATATCGATATAAAGTCATCTTATATCTTGTTTAAAAAATTATATCGATATTTTAAAAATATCGATATATTGCCCAGCCCTACATAACAGTTCAGACTGAGAAAAGAACCGGTCCCACCAGCATCATAACCAGGAATAGGGGCAGTTAGGGTGATGCCTCAGACGTCAGACTGATTCATGTGGACAACGCTTCTGCTCCTTTACTTTAGAAATCTGTGTTTGGCTAAGTTTCCTGCTGTTCCATGCGTGTGCATGTGTGTGTGTACACATCTTGGCCTGCATTCACTAGCCCTTGTTGCTAAGTGATCTCATGGTTCTTAGACATTTTTGTCTCTGCCTTCAACCTCACACCCAGATAGTCTTTCCCTGGTTGTGCTGGTGAGTTTAGTACATGATTTTATTCCAAGGAGGAAAATGACTCAAGGAAAGCTCAAGTCTGTCTGTACCAGTGTAATTAGATTCACTGATAAAAATTAAGTAGAGCTGCCACGATTCGTCACAATGTCATTGATAAAATAGTCGTTGGTGTCAGCCCTAATATTAAGTCCTTTTATTAAAGTTGCAAAAGGTCATCAACACCATCATGTGGTGCAATTTAACCACAAGCAAATACATTAGGTGTCACTGCTGTCAGATAACTGTCTAACTTAATTACTAGTCAGAGACGAACTAAAACTGTAAGATGGTAATAAATAAACTAGGAGATCCAAAAGTAAATCTGATCCAATAAGCTTTGACCCAAACCTCTCACCATTCAAAACTGGTTTTCCTGTAAAGCTGTGTGACCCCTCGTTGTTACACTGAACTATTTCACATAACACACATGCTGCTAAACTTAAATATATGCTAGATCCAGCCATCTTTAATTCCTGTTCATTTTTACATCAACTAATGTCTTTATTAGAGCCCATCCATCGTCTGCCTCTGCTGATGAAGCTGTTCAAGTATCAAGACTCCCACTTTGTTAAGAAAAACTTTAGCCAAACCTTCTGTGACGAGGACTGACTGAAACGTTTAAATGAGCATTCTTACCCTAAACAGTGAAGCACGTGTGCATTAGTTAATTCATGTTCAAAAGCCCATTTGTAAACCAGAGTGGTGACTGATCTTTGAATGTAATGATTAGAGTGATGTCATAGGTTTGTTTCGGTGTTCTTCCTTCACCCAAACGTTTGATAGTGAAAGACAAGAAAACTCAAACGCACCTGGTGGAGGGCTGAGATTCATCTGTTTCTCCACCTCGTTCTGTAGCTCCTTCAGCTTTTCTGCCTCTTCCTCCATTTCCCGGACCCGGGCCTTAATTGCCTCCAGTTCCTGAAAAACAGACACTAATTTGGTTTAATCACCAGTGACAGACGATTCAAATTAGTGATGGACAATATATCGGAATCAATATCGGTATCGGCCGATGTTAGTCATTTTTTAACATTTTTTGTGTGTGACCAGGTGAAGGGGTGTGTGGTTTTGGGTGTCTTTCAACCAGAGCAAACAGGACAGACAGGCAGAAAGTCGTAGGCCAGCTATTAACAACTGGTTCACACATAGGTTCAAACACACACACACACACACACACACACACACACACACACACACACACACACACACACACACACACACACACACACACACACACACACACACACACACACACACACACACACACACACACACACACACACACACACACACACACACACACACACACACACACACACACACACAAACAGCAAGGGGGAGGAGGGTGTAGAGCAGGGGTCGGCAACTTGTTCCCATCCCACAGTAAAGAAAACACTGGGAGCTGCAGCGTTGTGGGCGGGGCCTACCCTCAGACAGCAGAGAGCTGCTTTAACCAATCACAACAGGTGACAGCAGCCGGTATCGGCCGCTCGTGTACGTCAAAGTTATCTTTCATAAAAAAGATAATCAATAAAATGATTTATATAAAGTGGATCCAGAAGTTGTAGCCCGTCTCTGCCTACAATATTTTGACATTTTTCACCCTGTTGATGGTTTTTACTGAGCAGGTGCCACTTTTGTCATACGTTTCTTTTTAAAACATGTTTAGACTGTTCAGAATACAAATCCAGGCTCTGTCACGTTTGATTGTTGTAAATAAACTTTGTAGGTAAGAAGGTCAGAAAAGGATCCGATCATTTTGTTTTTCCCTCATTTACAGTGATGGAGATAACGGCGCAGTGCGCCTGGCTCTGGTGTTAATCAAGTTTAATTTTATCTATTTTCACAAGAAAACAAAACAGTTAAAAGCAGGGCTTGTGTTGACCGGACAGTTCCCGTATTTGGCCGTTTATTTTGACGGAGAAAGAATAGAAAGAATTACCCCGACGCATGCAGATGAACTGACATTTTATTCTACGCACATCGCAGATGTAGCTGAATCACTCAAGAAAAGATTCCCATCTGAACATCTGAGCTGGACATTGCTCAGCGCAGCTCACGGTCAGCATGTACTACATAAGGTCCACAGCGAGCTAAAGATGTGGAGAGGGGCTCGGAGCGCGTCGCAGAACCAGAACGCATGCAGGAAGATTCCTCTGACTGAAGCGAGCGTTTTCCAAACCCTGTCTCTCAGAGAGACTTGTAACTTAGAAAATGTTCCCTGATTATGAAACTTTGGCTGAATAGTGCTTGTTCCTGTCTCCAATGTGGCGACACATCCAGGAGCCATCTGAGGAGAGTCCCAGAATCTCACATCCTCTTCAGCTCAGAAAGCGCCTATGATTACGCACAAGCGTGATGCGTCAACCCGGTCTCACAGTAAGACCGGGTTGGACCTGTTCAGGTTTACGCAGACAATCTTTACATTTAGAATTGGCATACAGATGTAAAATTGATGCAGTAAAATATAAAGCTTTTTATTTAAATATCCATTCATTATTTTACAAGCACAGAGAGCCGCATCAGATGGATAGAAGAGCCGCATGCGGCTCCAGAGCTGCGGGTTGCCGACCCCTGGTGTAGAGGAAAAGAGCAGAGAAAAGGCGGAGAGGAAATGGAGGACACCAAGTGGTTAAAAGAAAAACTATGAGGCGCGGCTCGACCGGAGCGGAGAAACAAGCGTCTGGTCTGAACTGAGGAGCAGCGGCCGAATTCCGTGAGCGCTTCGGCGGCCGGTGTGTCCCCGGCGTAAAGTCTTCATTTAAACCCAACTGTTCACTGCCATTGAAGACATAAGTGGTTATTGCATTTTTTTTTACTGTGTGGACGTCGGAACAAGCCCCTGCACTGTAAGAACAAACATCTCAGCTCTAAAGCCGATCTTCATCTGCGTACGTCACACGTCACGTGACCGGGAAGCAGAAAATTCATGTGTTAGGAGATCGTTTTGGGCCGTTGCTGTAAAAAAAAGTGAGGCGCGAACCGGAAAAGCTTCTGCCAATCACAATTCAACGCTTGAAACGTGCAGACTCTTCCTGATGTAAGAGGTGAGTCTTCCTTTTGTTTTGGTAGTTTTTGTGTCGACATCATCCTAGCGCACAATGTTCTGTGACTCTTAAAAAAAAACTTTAAAAACAGTGAGAAGCCCTGGCAGCGAACGGCTTTACCGATCAGGAAACGGCTGGCAGTGAATGAGTTAACGGAATGCTTATATCAGAGATTTTTGATGCAGTCCGATATAATCTGATAATGTTTTTGGGCCGATATTGAATAACTTTCGATATTGATTTCGGAACGGGACATCCCTAATAATTATTACAGGACTTGGACAAGAGTTAGAATCTGTGTTTTTACCATATTGTCCAACTTTTTTTTACCTGACAATTGTCCCTTAAAATGTAAAAGCTGTGATTATATTCGTAATTAATTACATGTAAAGGATTCCGATCTCTCCAAGCTATAATGAAACCACTCAACCTGGGTCTTCATCACAGTAAACCGGGAAAGTAGATGTTTTATCTCTCATATGTTTCATGCTAAACGAGGAGCAAACCAGTTAAAAAATGTTAACCATTTTTCCCAAGAATAAAATATTTTAGGCTCACAGGCTCCAGTTTTAAAACTTCACGTTGGTGTTACGTGGCACTGTTCATTTTGTTGACTAAAAATGTTCGGGGTTTTTTATCGTGACGAAGGAATTTTCACAGACTAAAACAAATCCAAAGTGTGAAATGTAAATTTTACATATTTCTTTAATGTCAACTAGGTGTAATTAACGTTTCCTTTACACAGGTTGAAAATAATTGCATTAGAAGAAAAATACGTATATTTTAGTCGACTAAAAATAAAAACAAATATAGATGACTACATTGTAATTAAAATATATATATTATATATATATATACAATACATATATAAAAGCATTTAAACACTGACATGACTGTGCCCCTAAGTAGCAGTAGACCCTGCTATCCAACAGTGGTGCACTGCAGCACAGTAGGAGTCATTCTGGTGTGATCACAGCTACTCTCCTCATGCATGTAAAAGCTTATTGTACAACTGGACACTGGCGGAGAGGACGAATTCAGATCCCACCACAGAGCAAAATGGGGCACATTGTAATATTTAGATTTTTATATGATCGCATGATGAGATCAACAAGAGGTCAGTAATCTACGACCTTAGAGCATTCTGACACACTGAAAGCAGGATTGCTGCTAAAAGAAAAGCAGCCACTGACCGACACGTTCTGACCGACTCCAATTTTTGTCGCATATTCAGAGCAAGGTCTTCCACTCCACTCCCCTCCCCTTTCCCATTCTCCTTGCTCCAGCAAAAACCAAGAAGGATGCAAACCCAGCCCCTTAAATACCGCAGCCCCTTTTCTTCTGCGCTCCGCGCCTTCACCGCCCGACAGGAGCCACCTGAGCATGCAGTCTGGTCACTACCTGAACATCCAGGGTGCATTAAAGAGGACTACAAACACAGAGCGACCCGTCAACACGAGCTGTGCTTTTTTAACGGATAGGCAATAAGAAAAAGCACATCCCTCTTTGATGCATCTACTGTCAATCAAAACGTACAAAAAGATGTTCAGGTGCATGTCCCCTACGTCTATTAGTCAATCAGAGATCGATGTGATGCATAGCAACTACATGGATCGTCGTAATTAGACTGCAATTCAGGACGTGAAGTGACACATCTCCAGCTGATAACGGCTGACAGGCTTGCGGGTCATTTTAGGTGCAGCACTGGATGCTAGCGCTAGCCTGCAGCCACTGGATCATGTGCGCACACAGCGCGTGAACTGCAGCAGTCAGTGACGACGAGTCAAAGGAAATAAAAGGTCACATTACCGTTTGCAGGTTGCCTTCTTAAGGAGGTAGACTTGTACAACGGCGGTTAATGGCGGCGGCCTGTCCGATGCTCGCTCCAACAGTCTCCCGCATCTCCGTCTCGCATTTTTTTCCTCCCTTTTTCAACGAGGATTTCCCCCCACCCCCAACGGCTCGGGTTGCTCTCTAGCGCAGAGAAACTGGCGTCGCTGTTGCGCCAAGATGGCTGCAGACACCACGCTTGTCACCACCCAGCTCTGCTGCACTGCGTGAGCCACAATGGCGGTTATTGCCGAAGCGGATAGCAGAAACACACACGGCATGTGACCCAATATTCGAGAGGGAAAAAACAATTAATGTGTTACTATTTTAACTTACTACTCATATGTGGTTATAGAACGTCTTAATATTCAAGTTGGGTTTCACTCCAGGAGCAAAACGCGTCACTTACCGGGTCTTCAATCGCGGCCTCCCCTTCTTCTAACCCCGGGTCTTCATCGCCGACACCATGGTCTTCCAGCTCGGGATGTCCGGAGTCTGAATCTAGTAGAGAATCATCCGCGAGTCCGTTGCCGAACTCCGCCATCGCTTCAACAGTAGGGACGCTCCTCGTGGCTAAACCAACGTTGCAGGCCCCTACTCACACACAAGGGGGTTGAGTGAGTGGGGCGGCGAAAGCGAAAAAAAAAACGGCGGAAAACGCCGAGAAGTAAAGTTAAAATATCAAATAAAATGCTAGCTTCAAATTCGGCTAACGCTCAAACAGATCCCCTCAATGAACACGTGCTGTTTTATCACTCGCTGCGTATAGGAACCGGTCCTACAACGTGATAAGAATCCGAGTTTATTTACTTAAATGTATAAAAAAGACGACGACTCTACGCGAAAGCGGCGGCGGCGTCTCTTCGTTTCAGAAATGGAAGCCAGGGGCGGAGTCGCGATCACTGCGGGCGTAAAACTTTCAATCCTATTGGTCGAGAGATGATGTCAACCAAACACTTAGGCATTACCGAGTTCTAATTGGACGATCGAACATGACTGTTGGCAAACGTAAACGCCTAAATTCTATTGGCTTTTGATCCTGTCAATCATACCTTAATCGGTCAAAGTGAACTGACAAGTAGGTTTCAGACACATTCCAGCCCTTGAGATCACTTTAACGTGTCATTCTGGTGAAATCTGAATTGTTTTATGTGCCAAATGAACATAAATGTTTATTTTAACCACACATTCATTTAAAATTAAATGCATCCAGTGATAAAATGACCATTCTGTTGAAACAAACAGAACATTTAGGCTATTATGAAGAAATACTTGACCCTAATGTTAATTTATGGCAATAGTCTCTGAAGTTTATCACCTTCCAGTCTTAACCATTTTATTAATGACTATTTATCAATAAGAGACAAAGTCTTGGATCAGAAACGGTGTGCTTCATCTGCTGCTGCAGGCTAGATCGGAGCCTTGAGGTGAAATTCTATTGGCTCCCGTTCCTGTCAATTATGATCGGTCAAAAGTTAACTTCCACATTTCAGCCCCTACGCTCACAAGCATCAGCTGATGTCTGCAGCCAGGTCCTACTCCCTACGCTTGAGGTCACTTACGTATGGTATATATGTCGATGGTCAGTGGTTATTCATGCTTTTCTTTATTTTATTTTTTTTATTAAAAAAAAAAACATTATGTATCCAAAACCCATAACTAGAAAATTACACAACTCAAACATTACAGAAAAATACATTTCAATTATTTGAAATGTTATTTAAAAATTTATTTTTGCTTTTTTTTGTTTGTTTATTTGTTTAATTCACTTGTTGCTGTCTTCACAAAAAACTATGGAGATATAAACTTTTTATTTTTATTTTCTAGGGGTGGTCATGGACATCCCTTGGGGGTGCCACTGTTGTCATTCACGGAAAATCTGATTTTGTTCTTTGAAAAAACATCCAAAATACAAGTCCTTCTAAAAAAATTAGCATGTTGTGATAAAGTTAATTATTTTCTGTAATGTACTGATAAACATTAGACTTTCATATATATTAGATTCATTACACACAACTGAAGTAGTTCAAGCCTTTTATTGTTTCTAATATTGATGATTTTGGCATACAGCTCATGAAAACCCAAAATTCCTATCTAAAAAAATTTGCATATCATGAAAAGGTTCTCTGAACGTGCCATTAACCTAATCATCTGAATCAACTAATTAACTCTAAACACCTGCAAAAGATTCCTGAGGCTTTTAAAATCTCCCAGCCTGATTCATTACTCAAAACTGCAATCATGGGTAAGACTGCCGACCTGACTGCTGTCCAGAAGGCCATCATTGACACCCTCAAGCAAGAGGGTAAGACACAGAAAGAAATTTCTGAACGAATAGGCTGTTCCCAGAGTGCTGTATCAAGGCACCTCAGTGGGAAGTCTGTGGGAAGTAAAAAGTGTGGCAGAAAATGCTGCACAACAAGAAGACGTGACCGGACCCAGAGGAAGATAGTGGAGAAGGACTGATTCCAAACCTTGGAACCTGCCGAAGCCGTGGACTGAGTCTGGACTAGAAACATCCAGAGCCACCGTGTACAGGCGTGTGCAGGAAATGGGCTACAAGTGCCGCATTCCCCAGGTCAAGCCACTTTTGAACCAGAAACTGCGGCAGAAGCGCCTGACCTGGGCTTCAGAGATGCAGCACTGGACTGTTGCTCAGTGGTCCAAAGTACTTTTTTGGATGAAAGCAAATTTTGCTTGTCATTCGGAAATCAAGGTGCCAGAGTCTGGAGGAAGACTGGGCAGAGGGAAATGCCAAAATGTCTGAAGTTCAGTGTCAAGTACCCACAGTCAGTGATGGTCTGGGGTGCCATGTCAGCTGCTGGTGTTGGTCCGCTGTGTTTTATCAAGGGCAGGGTCAATGCAGCTAGCTATCAGATTTTGGAGCACTTCATGCTTCCATCTGCTGAAAAGCTTTATGGAGATGAAGATTTCATTTTTCAGCATGACCTGGCACCTGCGCACAAAGCCAAAACCACTGGTAAATGGTTTACTGACCATGGTATTACTGTGCTCAATTGGCCTGCCAACTCTCCTGACCTGAACCCCATAGAGAATCTGTGGGATATTGTGAAGAGAAAGTTGAGAGACGCAAGACCCAACACTCTGGATGAGCTTAAGGCCGCTATCGAAGCATCCTGGGCCTCCTTAACACCTCAGCAGTGCCACAGGCTGATTGCCTCCATGCCACGCCGCATTGAAGCAGTCATTTCTGCAAAAGGATTCCTGACCAAGTATTGAGTGCATAACTGAACATAATCATTAGAAGGTTGACTTTTTTTTGTATTAAAACACTTTTCTTTTATTGGTCAGATGAAATATGCTAATTATTTGAGATAGGAATTTTGGGTTTTCATGAGCTGTATGCCAAAATCATCAATACTAGAAACAATAAAAGGCTTGAACTACTTCAGTTGTGTGTAATGAATCTAATATATATGAAAGTCCAATGTTTATCAGTACATTACAGAAAATAATTAACTTTATCACAATATGCTAATTTGAGAAGGACCTGTATGTGTTTGAAGCAAACAATTACTTCAAATTTGTTTTAAAACAAACCCAGAAAATTTCAGTTTCCATGGAAAATTAATCGACTATAATGTACTTGAGTACTTTTCCCATCTTTCAATCCATCCATCCATTGTCTGAACCCGCTTTGTCCATGTAGGGTCGTGGGGGGGGGCTGGTGCATATCTCTAGCGGTCAATGGGCAATCAGGCGGGGTACACCCTGGACAGAGCCAGTCCATCGCAGGGCAACACAGAGACACACAGGACAAACAATCATGCACACACACTCATACCTGAGGACAATTTAAACAGAACAATTAATCTAACAGTCATGTTTTTGGACTGTGGGAGGAAGCCGGAGTACCCGGAGAGAACCCACGTATGCACAGGGAGAACATGCAAACTCCATGCAGAAAGATCCCAGGCTGGGAAGCGAACCCAGGACCTTCTTTCTACAAGGCAACAGCTCTAACCACTGCTCCACTGCATAGCCTCATCTTCCAATTTTAACCTTAAATTACAAAGTGACACACACGTTCAAACACAGATATCAGTTCCTTTGTTCAACTGGTTTTATTTCTTTTTCTGTATATCAAAGAAAGCATAATGGAGACCAAACACAAAGGCAGGTACAAGTGAGGAGGAAAAATTAAGCTTAATCATAAATCTAACAATTTTTAACAACACTGCCACTATAATTGTTCAATATTCAGAGAACACCATACTCTTCTTTTGAGCAGAGGTGGCATTTAAAACCATTATGGATCAATGATCAAAAAAACAGTGATGAGTAGTAATAATAAATCGTGTAAGTAGTAGTACAGTTATAACAATAGTGATAACCAAAGTGACAATGAAACATAATAAAAAGCAGATCTCCTTAAAAACGTATCTAGTTTGGACAGTGCAACACAGTTGTGTGTGTGTGTGTGTCTCACACGTGTAATCCCAGTCTTGAGGTTCAAGCACACTAGTCCTTGCTTTACACACAAGAAACAGTATCCAACAGGAGTACAAATTATTACTCAAAAGGACATAGTTACCCTCATCGTCTCAGAACCACACAGAGTGACGTCGAGTGTTGATGGCTGTTTTCATTTGAAATGTCTGAAGCTTGTGCAAAAATTGTGGACTAGTGCAAGTGTCAAGCCGTGGGATGTCTTTTACAGTTTGCATTAACGCCTCTCCTGCTTTCTGTCCACCTAAGATTGCTTTTTGGTTTCTTAATGACAGAAAGCAAAGGGAGGATTACTTTGGAATATCAGTTATTTTAATAGAATTCTTTACAAAAAGGTCACGCTTAAGATTTGCATTTTGTTAAAACTATAATAGTAACATCAATATACAACTTCAAGGAAAACATCTTTAATTCATTATGTGTCCTTCAACACAGCACCATCTTATTAGCTTTCAGTGATTACATCTTACGTTTCCTAATTTACCTCCTAAGTTTGAGGACCCATTATACTCTAGAGGGTACTAATTAACACCCGAGTGTTGTTATGGTGTCCAGATAGAAGCTCTCATTCCACAGCACACACATGACCAGAATCATTTACTGCTTCAAAACTTAAAAAAAAAGGGAAAAGCAAACAGAGACCTGCTTTTAGGACCAACTTTTGACCTAAATAACATCTTGTTACACTAGCTGGAATTGTTTCTATTGCCTTGTTTAAAAATAAACCGTCAAAATAAAATAAATCTGAAGAAATTGTCCGACCATTAGATCCGAATCAAGCTGAAATTAAGTTACAAACCTTTGAGCGTCACCTGGGGTCTGATTATCACACCTGCTGGGTTTTTTAAGGCTGGTGTATTTTTGACCCATCATGAGAAGCTGTGAAATATTCAGACTCCGTAAGAGCCACATTTAGGATGACGTGAAAGCAGAAGAATGAACAGAATTTAATGCGGGAACAGTAGTTGGTTATGATAGTCCTTGGCCAGGAAAGCCGACAGCTTTACAGGCAGGTTTTTATCAGCTTAGATGACACATTCCCCTTAGAGCTGGTGTAAAAACAGTTTAGAGAAAAGCTCATTTATAGAGTTATATTCAGGTCTAATTTTGTATAATATGTTCACGTCTAAAGCATGGTACATAAGATTAGCAAAAAAACTCAATTTATTTCACAAGATTTATATTAAGGCATCCAACATGCATTAAAGCATCTTTCCATAAAAAGACACCTGCATCAGAATGCTTAAAAACATTTTAAACAAAGTAAAAATGTCAAAGTGCGGTTACGCCAAAGATTCTACTTTTCTAAAACCCTTTTAGCAAAGTCTTTTTGGATTGTCATGAAACTACGAGCATGTAATCGCTAACGATTCCAACAGCCCTCCTCTCGCTAACGTACCGGTTTTGTATCCCAAATTAGTCGATGCAAGACTTTAGATCGCACTCCCTGACAGCTAATGCAGGCTTTCCTCTCCCAACACTTCAGTCCAGTTAGATTTAATTCAAGCAATTTTTGCCCTAGAAGTGAAAGCAGGCATGAAAAATGTTTAAATTATCCACAGGAGAGAAAAAAAAAGGGGTTACTGATGTGAACGGTTTGTGTTATCCCAAACTCATGTTTCCAGGCCCAATGTGGCTGCTGCCAAAAAGGAAACGCTTGCATTAGTCTTTAGGTACAACAGTTCGAGCACGGCGAGTCAAGTGCCTTTACAAAGTCGAGGAAGTTAGTTCACACTTAGCCACAGGGTTAGGACCAAAGGTGTGTGGGTAACGTGAGTACGGGTCAGACCTCAAGGTCAGTCTGCTCCTGATTCCAGGTGGATACAGTCTGAGGAGCATAGGAGCGTGGGCGTATGGGGAGGGAGGGCATCATAGCAGAGAACATTACCTTTAGAGGATTAGTGCTCAACTATGTTTATTAAAATTTGAGGAGCCGTAACGGTCCAACAAACGTCACGGTGTGGGCCATTCCTGATCTGAGTCTTTAACTGTTGCTGGTGGCTGTTTGGGGGGGCAGCTCCACAACTATCTCCCCTTCGGGAGTGGCTCCAGAACCGCTTCCGGCAGCGGAGAGAGACACCTGTGAGCCGCTCTTGTTTATGAGGGCAGCCGGCTGGCCGAAGTTAGTGGTTCTCAAAGTAGCCAAGTGGTGTGGGGAGAAGACGTGGGCCCTGGCAGCAGCCCGCGACTCAAAGGAGACGCTGCAGGCGTCGCAGTGGCCCGTCAGGCTCTCCTTCTGCACTGGCTGGCCCACCACCGGAGAGGCTGACGGTTGTGTTATGGTCAGCTGAACCGGCTTAGGCAGAAGGGGCCGATTAGCTTTGAGAGCGCTGTACTGCAGGTAAGATCCTGAGCTGGTGTCCACGGTCCCACAGACCAGAGGAGACTGTAGGGAGAAACCCAGAGAAGGAAACATTAGAATCAGCAGGAACCATCAACAGCCGCGTTTCCACTCTAGGACTGGGAGATCCGATGGCTCAGCCCTCTCCGCTGCAGTGACTCCATTTAAAATCTGCCCTTTGAGGACTTGGCTAAGACGTCAGCATATCGCCACTGCCTCCCCAATAAGTGATGTCACTTATCACTGCCAAAAGACATCCACAGACATACCAATGAAAGACTTATCCTGTCACATTACATTGGAATTTAATCCATTTGGAGGACCAGGTGAGCTGCTGTTTGATGTAAAATGTGGCGTTCAATGACCAAAAGAAGCACTGTTTTTACAGGTTTCTGTGACACAACTAAACCTGTGAATTACAGCGTTGTTGAGGGATTCCTGCAGCGTTTTTCAGCAGTTTTAAAGCAGTGTGAATACTGCTTATTTTCTTATCCCATCAGTTGGGTGACGTCTGCTGATGCAATTGTTACAACCAATCAGAATGAGTTGAGCAAAAGTTCTGCTCAGCGACCCCACCACGCCATTTCGAGTACCTACTCCTGATCAGGACAGGTTCTCCACTGGTTCCTGCCGGCCCGGTCATGTGGAGACGTGCGTGCCCCAAAGTTCTGGTAAACTTACATAGGTTGCGCCTAATATAAACATGTAATATGAAACTCAAGGCGCTACTAGCCATTAGCTCATCGACCATAGGGAATAAAAACAGAGCTCAACCAGTAATAGAATAATAAACTCCAAATGGACAAAAGGTTTATTTTTTAGGCACATCTCTAAATGATGATTTCACACCAAATAGTTCAGTAACATAATGAAGTATTAATGGTGAAGAAACTTCTCTAGCTCACCATTTTCTCCTGCTGCAGCCTCCAGCGCTTCTCCTTGGCTCGTGTGTTCTGGAACCAGATCTGGATGACCTTCAGCGGCAGGTTGAGCTCGTTGCCAATCGCTTCACACTCCATGGCATTAGGGTGGGCACACGTTTCGTAACATGACTGCAGAATAGACAGCTGTAGGCAGGACAGGTGAGTGCGCGGCCTGCGGCTGGACGAGTGAGACAGGAAGTTGCTCTCTGACGGGCTCGGCTTTGGAAGAATGGGTGGGTTTGGGCTGGCTACTTTGGCAGAACTGGGGATGTTTGGGCTGACTGGCGCTATGCTGGGAGTGGGAGGAGGAGGGATGGTACAGGGAGGTGCGTGTGCAGGAAGAGCCAGTTGTTCTCTTGACAACGTGTTGATCTTAATGGGAGCGTTGGGGGTCCAGTAGTTGAGCCCGTTCTGCTTGTGCTGAGCCGCTGCTGTGGCTGAAAGCCGGTTGTTGATGGGAGTTGAGGGCAGCTTTGGCACCATCCGGTTAGCCGTTCCTGGTCCAAGCGTCATCTCGTTCTCATCCTCTCTTTCCTCATCGGTCTTCTCTTCCTCACTCTCCTCATCCAGCTTTTTCTGAGTGGGCCGGGGAGCGATTGGGACCAGTTCCTTTGGTGGTGGTGCTAAGGGAACGGGAGTGTCGACTTTAGGTGGAACTTTCACCGTCGGGGCGCTGCTGTTAGTTTCAAGCTTGATCTTTGGCACCGCAGAAGCACTGCTGCTCACCGGAGACACAGCCATGGAGGAAACTGCTTCCTTGGGCTTGATGGGAACGGGGGCCACTTTTTTCAACATGGCTGCTTTGTTCAGCTCCTTTTCGGGTTCCCTCTCCGTCTTGATGAGGGTGCGCACAACAGGGGTAGTAGGGATGCCCCCCGCGTTGTTTTGAACAGGCTTGTTAGAGAATATTGGTTTGGAAAGGGGCCATGTGAATTTGATGAGAGGTTTGCCAACTGCTGCTAGCGTCCCATCACTGATGAATCGGACCTCGCCTTTCCTCTCCCTCGCCCGCATGTTCTGGAACCAAATCTGAACCACCTTCTTTGGAAGATGGACCCACTCCGAAATTTGCTCAAACTCATGCTTTCCAGGATTAGGGTCTTTGAAGTAGCAGCCATACAGAATGTCCAGTTGCTCCGCTTGAATGATGGTCCTTGAACGCCTCATGTCCCGCATGTATCTCTTTCCTTTGGACTTCCTCTGCTGCTGGTCCCTCTCCTTCTCACGGTCCCTTTCCAATAAAGCAGCAGCGTTCGTTTTCTCTGGTGCTCTTGTGTAAATGTTAGAATGCATCATGTTGCTGCAGTTGACCAGACTCAGAGGGTTGCTGGATGGGGGCATGGAAGTCACAGCTTCTGGTTTCACTTGGACCACCACCAAGCCTTTAGAAGTGGGAACGAGACCGAGTCCGTCCAGCAACTGTCCCTTCTGTGCAGCGATTTTATCTGCCAGAGACGGAGTGGAAGAAGTGGACTTGTTTTTGCCCATGCTGAGATCCAGAGCAGACTCACAGTCGTCACCGTTGGACAGGTAGTGAGACGTCTGGTTGAGGGAGGAGAGGGACTGCGAGAGCAGAGAGCTTGAGAATCGCGTGATGGTGGGGGGGTTGGGGAACACCGATAACTTCCCCCCATCTGCCACCATTGAGGGAGTGACAGACAGAACATACGGACTAAGGAACTGTGTAGAAAAGGGAGTGAGAGACAAAGGAAGAGAGTGTAGAGCACCAGCTGGAATCTCAGCGTGGTCCATCACCAAGCTCTGGGAACTGGGAGGATCTCCCTGAGCCTCCAACTCCAGATCCACATCTGGATCCTGTCTTTCCTTTTTCACTTCCACCTCATCGCGCTCAAAGTCTCCTTTGCGTTTTTTCCTCTTGGCCCGCTGACCCCCTCCACCCTCATCGTCTTCATACTCCTCCTCTGCATCAGAGAGGAAGACTGTTGTGGAGCGTAGCACCTTTCCCCCAGCTGACCCCTTGCCGCCGTGGTTCTCCTGCTGTGCTTCCTCTGTAGGGGGGCTGTCAGCGACCTCCTTGAACGATTCATTCCGACTCTCCTCATCAGACACAACTACAGAGGTGTACATTTCGTTTTCTGAGTCCGAGGTCAGACCAGATTCCCTGTGACCCTCTCTTCTTGCACTTCTCCGCCTGCGTTTTCCTCTTGAACAGGACAAATCTATGATCTGACTCCCTGAAGCTTCAGCATCATCCTCACCTTCTGCGATAACCAGCGAGTTTTCCTCATCATCATAGTCGTCAGACTCTTGACTGGGCCCGGTGGATTCTGCCAGGAGTTTTAACTCTCTCCATCTCTGCTTGGCATGCCGGGCTTCCGTCAGCCACCTCCGCACCTCCTCTTCTGAAAGGCCCACCTCCCTACCCAGAGCCTCACAGTCCTCGTGGAGAGGACTTGCGGCATCTGCCTCACTCCGGGACTCAAAGAACGCCCAAAGAACCTCGGACTGGAACTCCGAGAGCACTGGGAGGTTTGAATGATGGAACCCCACTGCGTTCCAGCGGAGATGAGTTTGGTTAGTAGTTAAGGCATTGGTACCGGGGCTGGACTTGGGGGACTGGGACTTCTGGGGGGTCGAGTCTGGGCTGAGCGTGAGGTTTAAATTCACCGGACTGAGACTAGAGCTGCTGGGCACAGATGCTAGAGGCGAGGGGCTGTTGTTGCGGGGGTTCTTCTCTAGCCCAGCTGGGGAGAGACTCAGCCCAACTTCTTTAGCAGCATCCAGATCCAACTGATTAGCAGACACGCCTCCATGTGAGTTGCTGTTTTGTTGCTCCTTTCCAACGGCTTCTCCACTCTCAACGTTCTCTTTGGTTACGGAGTTTGCACTTTGTGCAAATTCATCACCGTTTTCTCCCTCAGGCGTCTCCTCTGAAGTCCAGTTATCCATGTCCTTGACCTGATCTGAGCCTTTCTCCCCCGTCTCCTTGCTGTCCTGCTTGTCTTGTCCTCCCTCACACTTCAGAGTTTGTTTTTGCTCTTCCTGAGAGGGCTGTGTGTGAGCTGGAGCCACTGGTGAGGGCCACTGGTTCTGTAAGCTGTTAAGTCTTTGGGTTAGGAGGGCTTGCTGGGCTGGGTTGAGGCCGACGAACGGCAAACACTGGGTGAGGAGTTGGCCTTGCTGGTTGTCTTGATGCTGCTGAGTTTGAGTTTGGAGCCCATTTAAGATCAAGGGCATGACCATGTGAGGCTGAGGCACGAGCTGGGGCGCAGGGGCACCGGGAGCTGCACCTGCTGCAAACAGGGATGGGAGGAGGGAATGAGAGAGTGTGAGGAAGGCCGAGACGGCCTGAGCTGAGGCCACGGGGGAGGTGAGGAGGGAGGGAGCCACCGGGGATGTTGCAATCTGCTCTCCATCTTTGGCAGCACTCACCACCACCGTTCCAGGTGCTGCACCATTACTGGAGGTAACCATGGAAATGGTTCCCCCTTCAGAGGAGGTTGCAGCGGTGTTGGGAGCACTGGTGCTGCTACTTCTTGGGCTAGCAACGGCGGCTGGACTGTTTGCAGCATGTGCGACCATTCCTGCACTTCTGCTGCGGGTCTGATGCAGGACAGACTTCATATGGCTCTCCAGGGTGATGGCGTGGTTATAGGAGACCCGACACACGGCACACTGGTAGGGCTTGTTGGATATATATGGCCTGGAAGGAAGGGGGGTGGAGGGGGACTGGGGACCACTTTCTGCCCCTGGTTTAGCAGAGCCCGTAGTCATCCTCTGGATGTGGGATGCGGAGTTATAATGGAGACTTAAGGTGGTTCTGCTGAGAAACTTTTCCTGGCAGGCGTTGCATTCCCAAAACCTTGTTCTCTTTTCAGCTGGCATGCCGTTTTTATCCCCAGACTTTTCACTTGCGTCTGGCGTTTCTGTGTTTTCACTTGTATTTTGCAGTTTGGCTTCTGTGAGTGGGTTTCCCTCTTCTTCTGGGACGGGCTCAGCTTCACCTCCCTCCTGTTCCTTTATTCTCTCCTGCTCCATCTCTTTGTCTCCCAGCGTCGGGGTAGCGTCGGAACTCTCACTGGATTTGCAGGGGTCTGAGCTCGACTCGTCAGCCTGCTTCAGTTGTGACGACTCAGCATCTGTGAAAATACGCATTTTACTTTCACGTTCTTGTGTTTTTACATGAACAACTAGTGGATCTCACTCACATGCAGCCTGTTGAGCACGTTCCTCCTCCTCTCCTCCTCCTCCTCCTCCACTGGCAGCTTGCTTTGAAACAGTCTGGAACATGAAAAGTAGCCAGTCAGCTAAATTCTTGCAGCAAACTTGAATCTTTAGTGACTCCTTCCAGATGAGCCGATGTCATTATGTAGCACATTTGGGCGTGACTCAAGGACAAGTGGTTATATGACACATAGCAAGCATGGCTAGTCTTTCATTTGAAAATTACCCCAGAGCCAAAATCTAAGTGGTCTTTGATCAAATCTCTGATACTTTTATTCATCTCAACACTTTTATTCATCTCAACACTTTAGAATAACGGTTTTCCTGCATTTCCTACAGTGTGTGTAATTCTGCACAGATATGAGAGCATGTAAATAAATGAGACTTTAATTTGATCTAAACTCAGTTTAAACACAGAGTTCCTAACAAAACTACAGAAATCTAGAAATGATCGACTTTAAAGCTGCAATGGCAAATTTGGAAAAAAAAAAGCTTACAACTGTTTTTCACGCCGCTTACCATTCTAACAAAAGTCTGTTGATTTACATTATTGAATAACGTACATCGGTTGCATGAAATTAGATTATGTTATGGTTTTATAGCTTCATTATATTGTGCCACCACGACAAATACATTATTATAACATGTTATAAGAACATGAAACAATCATATGTTTAAAATACATTCATATTATTTCGTGAATCTCACCAAAGCTCTTTTTTTAAGTGCGGCTCTGCCCCTATCTCGCTCTAGACCATGCTGCACACACTGCCTGTGATTTCCGTAGCCGTTATTCTAGTCGGAGACGACGCTGAGAGCTTTTTGACCCTTCTGCACCGCTATCCTTTACAGTCAGTTTTTGTTGTTGCTCACTGCCAGCTTATGAACTACACACAACTATTTTCAACACATGTATATTTCATTTCTAATTCTTTAAATGTGAATTTAACTCAATGATCAATTGATTCATTTTAACTTTCAACATTTAGGAAGACTGTGGCATGCTGGGAACTCCGTTCCCTTCATCTATAACCAGTTAACTAAATCATGAACACAATCTTTTCATGTAACAAGGAGGAATCCTGTAGAAACCACATTGCACCATTTTAAGTTACCATTACATACGTTAATCGTGTTCATCTTACAAACTTCCTCCAATTGTGTAGAAACTACATGTAAGGAATAAGTCATTTGAACAAACAGAACTTCTGTGTAGCTATAAATATATTGTGGAGATAAAAAGAAATTAATAAAGTGGTTCTCTCACATTTGTCTAGAACCCTCCACAAATGACACGTTTCAGACTGAAAGCAACGATTGGACCATCCGGTTGTTGGTCTCGCCGAACCGCATGTAAGCAGGAATTTAAAGTTCCTTTAGGAAGAGATGCAACCAAAGTAAAATGATAATTACTGGTTTACAGAATGAGATTAAAAGATTTTTTAACTACGTCTGCTCAACTAGTTCTCCAGGTTCTCGTCGCGCCTCATGACCCATTTTCAAAACTTCTACCTCCTATCAAGTCATTTAAAGACATTTTTTCCGTCGTTTGGAAGTTTCTGAATAAAAGTTACCGGTAATTATTTTCATTTCATTTTAGACCGAACAACCAAAGACTTTGGCAGAAACTCCTGCCGGACCTGATGATTGGGTGAACTTGGACAGAATAACGTTCAAACAAACATTATTCTGTCCAGGATTACAGCTACAGCTGGTCTGTGAGGAACTTTTAGAGTCGACTTCAGCGTCTTCTCTGTGAGCGTCAGTTTGGACTTTTAGTGTAAACAGATTACAGGTGCTGGCCAGTAAATTAGAATATCATCAAAAGGTTGAAAATATTTCAGTAATTCCATTCAAAACGTGAAACTTGTACATTATATTCATGCAATGCACACAGACCAATGTATTTCCAATGTTCATTACATTTAAATTTGATATTTATAGGTGACAACCAATGAAAACATCAAATCTGGTATCTCAGAAAATTAGAATATTCTAAAGGCCAATGAAAAAATGTTTGTTTCTCTAATGTTGGCCAACTGAAAAGAATGAACATGAAAAGAATGTGCATGTATAGCACTCAATACTTAGTCGGGGCTCCTTTTGCCTCAATAACTGCAGTAATGCGGCGTGGCATGGACTCGATCAGTCTGTGGCACTGCTCAGGTGTTATGAGAGCCCAGGTTGCTCTGATAGTCGTCTTCAGCTCCTCTGCATTGTTGGGTCTAGCGTATTGCATCCTCCGCTTCACAATACCCCATAGATTTTCTATGGGGTTAAGGTCAGGCGAGTTTGCTGGCCAATCAAGGACAGGGATACCATGGTCCTTGAACCAGGTGCTGGTGGTTTTGGCACTGTGTGCAGGTGCCAAGTCCTGTTGAAAGGTGAAGTCTGCATCCCCATAAAGTTGGTCAGCAGCAGGAAGCATGACGTGCTCTAAAACTTCCTGGTAGACGGCTGCATTGACCCTGGACCTCAGGAAACAGAGTGGGCCAACACCGGCAGATGACATGGCACCCCACACCATCACTGACGGTGGAAACTTTACACTGGACCTCATGCAACGTGGATTCTGTGCTTCTCCGCTCTTCCTCCAGACTCTGGGTCCTTGATTTCCAAAGGAAATGCAGAACTTGCTTTCATCAGAAAACATAACTTTGGACCACTCAGCATCAGTCCAGTCCTTTTTGTCCTTGGCCCAGGCGAGACGCTTCTTGCGCTGTTTCTTGTTCAAGAGTGGCTTGACACACGGAATGCGACACCTGAATCCCATGTCTTTCATGAGTCTCCTCGTGGTGGTTCTTGAAGCGCTGACTCCAGCTGCAGTCCACTCTTTGTGGATCTCCCCCACATTTTTGAATGGGTTTGTCGTCACAATTCTCTGCAGGGTGCGGTTATCCCTAGAGCTTGTACACTTTTTTCTACCACATTTTTTCCGTCCCTTCGCCTGTCTGTTAATGTGCTTGGACACAGAGCTCTGCGAACAGCCAGCTTCTTTAGCAATCACCTTTTGTGTCTTGCCCTCCTTGTGCAAGGTGTCAATGATTGTCTTTTGGACAGCTGTTAAGTCAGAAGTCTTCCCCATGATTGTGGTGCCTTCAAAACAAGACTGAGGGACCTTTTAAAGGCCTTTGCAGGTGTTTTGAGTAAATCAGCTGATTAGAGTGGCAGCAGGTGTCTTCTATATTCAGCCTTTTCAGAATATTCTAATTTTTTGAGATACCAAATTTGGAGTTTTCATTAGTTGTCACTTATGAATATCAAATTTAAATGTAATGAACATTGGAAATACATTGGTCTGTGTGCATTGCATGAATATAATGTACAAGTTTCACGTTTTGAATGGAATTACTGAAATATTTTCAACCTTTTGATGATATTCTAATTTACTGGCCAGCACCTGTATAATCCAGAACAGGATTATAACAATCTATGCAGGCTTCTGTCTGTGGAAACTATGAGACTTGGAACCAAACTCAAGCTTAACTGGACTGAGATAAATGATTAAAATCTAACGTAAACTAATGATTAAGGCTCCTTTCAGAGGCTAAAAACACACTCACCTAAAGGATTATTAGGAACACCTGTTCAACTTCTCCTTAATGCAATTAGCTAATCAACCAATCACGTGGCAGTTGCTTCAATGCATTTAGGGGTGTGGTCCTGGTCAAGACAATCTCCTGAACTCAAACTGAAGGTCAGAATGGGAAGAAAGGTGATTTAAGCCATTTTGAGCGTGGCATGGTTGTTGGTGCCAGACGGACCGGTCTGAGTATTTCACAATCTGCTCAGTTACTGGGATTTTCACACACAACCATTTCTAGGGTTTAAAAAGAATGGTGTGAGAAGGGAAACACATCCAGGATGTGACAGTCCTGTGGGTGAAAATGCTTTGTTGATGCTAGAGGTCAGAGGAGAATGGGCCAACTGATTCAAGGTGACAGAAGGGCAACTTTGACTGAATTAACTACTTGTTACAACCGAGGAATGCAGCAAAGCATTTGTGAAGCCACAACACGCACAACCTTGAGGCGGATGGGCTTCAACAGCAGAAGACTCCACCGGGTACCACTCTTCTCCACTACAAATAGGAAAAAGAGGCTACAATTTGCACGAGCTCACCAAAAGTGGACTGTTGGAAGACTAGAAAAATGTTGCCTGGTCTGATGAGCCTGGATTTCTGTTGAGACATTCAAATGGTAGAGTCAGAATTTGGTGTAAAAAGAATGAGAACATGGATCCATCATGCCTTGTTACCACTGTGCAGGCTGCTGATGGTGGTGTAATGGTGTGAAGGATGTTTTCTTGGCACACTTTAGGCCCCTTAGTGCCAAGTGGGCATGGTTTAAATGCCACGGGCTACCTGAGCTTTGTTTCTGACCATGTCCATCCCTTCGTGACCACCATGTACCCATCCTCTGATGGCTACTTCCAGCAAGACAATGCACCATGTCATAAAGCTCCAATAGTTTCAAATTGGTTTCTTGAACATGACAATGAGTTCACTGTACTACAACGGCCCCCACTGTCACCAGATCTCAACCCTATTGCGCATCTTTGAGATGTGGTGGAACGGGAGCTTCGTGCCCTGGATGTGCATCCCACAAATCTTCATCAACTGCAAGATGCTATCCTATCACTATGGGCCAACATTTCTAAAGAATGCTTTCAGCACCTTGTTGAATCAACGCCACGCAGAACTAAGGCAGTTGTGAAGGCGAAAGGGGGTCAAACACCGTATTAGTACGGTGTTCCTAATAATCCTTTAAGTGTAGATTTGTGGCTTTAAATGACATCACTTCCTTTGGATTAGATTTTTTATTCCATCTAGTCAAATATTTATAGTTTATTTGTATCAGATGTAATTTAATAGCTGACAGCAATAATGTCAAAAGTGAAAGGTACCATTGTACTACTTTACCATTACTTTACCAACAAGGCTGGTTGTTCACATTAGTGAATGCTGGATGAAGTCCTCAATCATTTGTATGAAGACTGATTTTAGTACAGGAAAGATTTTACAACTGAACACGTTTTTTATTAAAAGTTATTAAAGGTAAATTAATTAGAGGTGTGAAGATTATTTGCTTTAGTGAGAAGGAGTGGAGGGTAGAAAAATGTTTCAGAACTGCATCACAACCCTCTGAAGCCTTTGCACCTATGTCACCTGATCACATGGGTCTATCATATTGGTTGGCAAAAGCATATAAACAGTGAGCGACACAAGTACTTAAAGGGAAAAGTAGAGCCTGAAATTATTTTTTTGCTATATCATTCCTTCAACTAGTTCAAGGTCAGTTCAGTTATCAGAAGAAGTGGTGCTCCTAGGCGGGACTCAGAGAGCGGTATGTTATCTAGCTTACGAACGTTAGCTTAAGTTCTCTCTGCAGCTATTCATGGATATAAACAAGTTGCCGACTTTTCCAAAAGTCAACCCACTGGATTTATAACTCGTCTCGTCTTCCTCTGTCTATCCTGGTCCAGGTTGCGAGGGCAGCATCCCGACTAGGGAGTTCCAGACCATCCTCACTCCGGCCACCTCCACCAGCACCCCTGGCAGGACCCCAAGGCGTTCCTGGGCCAGTTTGGAGATATACTTTCTCCAACATGTCCTGGGTCGACCAGGAGGCCTCCTGCTGGCAGGACATGCCCAAAACACCTCCCTGGGGAGGCATCCAGGAGGCATCCTAACAAGATGCCCAAACCGCCTCAACAGAATCCTCTCGATATGAAGGAGCAGCAGCTCTACTCCGAGTCTCTCCGGATAACCGAGCTCCTCACCCTATCCCCAGGGTATCCGCGGGTCCTTAAAAAGTCTTAAATTAGCTTTTCCAAATTTAAGGTCTTAAAAATCCTTAAAAATGACAAATAATCCTTAAATATAGTTTCCAAAGGTCTTAAATGACCAAAGACCCAATAAACAAGATTATTTTATTTCTATAAAATTTTGTGAATTTCTAGTTAGTGTTCAGCATTTTTTGTGTACGATGTTGGCGTAAGCGGAACCGTACACATTCAGTTGGTTGTGAAAGGGGGCTATTTTTAGGTGAGCACATTAGCTGGTTAAGCTAGTGGGCGCTTGCGACATGGGGAAGTGCAAGTTTAATGGTAACTGGATGGCTTATCCCACCTTTGCGACGTGGTTAGCACCGGTTCCAGGCAATAGCTGGGAATTATAGCTTAAATTCGGTCAAAGTGGCCTTAAGAAAGGTCTTAAAAAGTCTTAAATTTGGCTCCCTTAAACCTGCAGATACCCTGTATCCCTAAGGCTGAGCCCAGCCACCCCGTGGAGAAAACTCATTTTGTCACTTGTAACCACGATCTTGTTCTTTCGGTCATGACCCAAAGCTCATGACCATATTGAGGACTGGGCGGTAGATCAGCTGGTAAATCGAGAGCCTTGCTTTCCGGCTCAACTCCTTCTTCACCACAACAAACCGGTTCAGTGTCCACATCACTGCAGACGCTGTCCAGATCCGCCTGTTGATCTCCTGCTCTCCCCTTCCCTCACTCATGAACAAGACCCGAGATACTCCTCCACTTGAAGCAGGACCTCTTCTCCCAACCCAGAGTTGGCAAGCCGCCCTTTTCTGGTCGAGAACCACGGTCTCAGACTTGGAGGTGCTGATACTCATCCCAGCCGCTTAACATTATGTTAATATAAACAGTGTTTCATTTTACACCAAAGCTGATACATTTAAAAGTTCGGATCCCTACCAGTTTTGGTTGCTGGTGGGGTCACCGGGTTCAGCTGGTGCACTGGGATGAGACGAGATCTCTCTGAACAGCAACGCTCATACTAAATAACCTAATTTTAACACCTGTAATCCTACATTGGAGCATTAATATTGTAAACAATTATCTCACATTTCACTACAGTGGACAGTACCGCACGTCCTCCAGGGTTAAATATCCATCCATCCATTAGGATTATTAATAAGTGGTAGAAACACATCACATTTATCCCCGTTTTCCTCATGAAATATATGAACGTTAACCTTAACCGATAAAAACAAGTTCGCTGCAAATCTGAAGATACTTTGAGGGCTGCTAGACTGTTTGATCATTGTAATTCATCTCGTTTCTCGGTCTCCATCAAAGTTATTTGAAAAAAAAAAGTTGGCTTTACATCCTTGTCTGTTGGTGCAGCCAACTGCACAGCAAGCCATTACCATTTTACTGTGAAATTAACTAAATTAAAGCGATAAAAGGCTACAAACAGGCTTGTTTTGACTAGCTTCACTGGAGTTTCAACGTGTATAAACAGACTTTTTGCCAACCATCATGGCAAAGGGGGCGGTCCCATGAGTGGCGTGATGTCACGTGCAAAGGGTCAATATTCACCAGGAGCCTGAAGACTCACACACCTAGCTCAAGAGTTGCATTGTGGGATGTAGCCCTAGACAAGCAAGTGTGCATTTTGCATGGATACCTTTAGGTCTGAGTTGTAGTTTTGTCTCCTAAAAACGTTCAAATGGGAAGGAACTAAATGCAGCTGTTCAGGAATTTCTGTAATTAATATACTTAAAAATGGCTGAAATATCCGTTAAACTACAATGCTACCTTTATTTGCTTCAAATCAATCAATAAAGTTAAAGATTTCAAAATACAGAATTACATATATCCAGCATTTAATAAACTGAACTGACTATATCCAACTTACTTATATTACCCCAAACAACTGATCTATTTCTTATTTTTAACGACACATTTTAAAAGGACGGTGTAACATTGGTTGGAACAGTCCGAACTCACCAAGCTCACGATGTCCAGCAGTCTGTCCACACACGATGGAAGGACACTGTGCTGCTCAGTGAGGTGCGAGGACATTGAAGATCTGTCAGGCTGCCCTTTTTGGCACAAGGGGCACACCCACGTCGCCACCCCATTTCTTTCACTGCACACCGTCTCTCCAGACTCCTCCTAACAAACACAAAAAAACCAGTGTAATCAAATCCTCCTCCCTGCTTAGGAAACTGGAATAAAGAGTAGCTTTGGTTGTGTAAATTCATAAAAGATCCCATTTAAAAAAAGGAAGTGATACACTGACTTAAATAAAGATCAGCATTTGATGGTGAGGGTTGTGGGTGATTTATAGACACAAATTGAATCAGAATATCTTGTTTGAATTGTATACCAGTAACTACAGCATTATAAACTAATCACACAGAACAAAACAAGAGCTCAAATGCTAAATATGTAGCTTTATGTAGCATTAGCTGATCTCATTAGCCAGCATAACTTTGTTCAAATATTTCAACATAAAAAGCTGCGAAGTATTTCCCCCTTACAAACAGAAGGCTTCTTAATTTACAGCAGTGTTAAACTGTAAGCCTACTCTCAGACTGGCATAGTTTCCCCTCAGAGGGAGGTTCCCATTTTTATTTCTTTGTGTGCGTCGACCATATCAAATGACAATAATACAATTGTCTAAAAACAGTCTGGTCAGTCAAAGCTGCAACAGGTTTAGCATGCAGTGTCCTGCTAGAGCCCCATGTAGCTGCTGCTAGCTACACAAGAGACCAGCTCTGAATTCAAACTAAAGTTCAACAAACTGGTCAGCGCATGCGCACTGGAGCGCATTAAAAGCATAACAATTTTTACGCTAAATACCACTTCTTGCAAAACACCATGCCATTTATAGCACACTAAACTAGTTTAACTGCGTGTATTTACGAACAAAATAGTGTTAAAATTAAAGTTAAATAAACTACCGAGTCTTATTTCCCCGGAAACACGTTGATACATGGTTCTGCTAGCACTTAATGGTCCAAAATGCAGCAAAGGCAACAACCCCGTGGCCAGGAGAAAAGATACCAACACAGCTACCACCTCCTTACTTCCTCGTCGACATCGATAAAATAAAAACTCTTCGTCACGGGGATGATACAAGTCACAACAAAGCTGTCTTTTGTTTTCCGGAGGCTAATTAATGAGCGGTCTAATTAGCTACACGGAGGTGGTGGAGCCCCCCTGCAACGTCGCATTACAGCGGTGTTTGGAAATGCTGGTTAACTCTTGGTTTACTGATGGTTATCTTGCGGCGACGGTCACTTTTCTAAAACTGAATAAAAGGCAGAACAGAAGGCGGAATAATTTCGCCTCGGCTCAGAGTAGTCAGGGCTGGGCCGTGATTAAATTAATCAGCAAAAGGGCTGGGAGCTGTTAACAGTCGTGCCAGTTTGCTAGCTAGCCTGTTAGCAGCCAGAGATAATTAACCGCTCCTCAAAGTGTCTCAACAACTGTCTGCTCCTCACTCCAGACCCCCTCCTCCTGGCCCAGGTGGGAGCCGCTGCTTCAGCACACCGACTGCTATAAGATCCACTCACCCAGCTTCAGAAGAAAAGACCTCGGCCTCGAGTTAGTCCCTCACCCCGCTGATTGTGGGCTTCCAATCGGGCACCTAGGGTTGCACCGCCCGCCGCCTGCTGCTCAACAGCGCAAATTGAGGCCTAGCCTGACTAAAGCCATTTAATTAATGAACGTGGGCTCCGCTTACAGATGTGTAGGGAACACTCGCACCCCCTCCTCCCTCGCCGCCCAGCAGAGCCCCCTTTAACGCGCTCAAATACATACCTTAAACACCTAGGCTGCAACACATGTCCATTTAAAGTATCATTTTAACAGCTTCGGGACGTAATTGGCGAAGGAATTAAACAGTACGGAGCTACTTGGAGCGGAGTACGTGCGTCGCCTCGACGATGATGGGGGTGGTGCAAAGGAGAGCAGGCGAAAGAGAGACTAGAGGCAGAAAAAGTTTGGGATTTAATGTTGGATTTTTGTTGTGGGTCGGATCGGTTCGGGGCTCGACCCGTCGTTTGCTCGATCCTCTGCCAGTCGCAGGCGTCTCTCCGAGCTCCAACAGGCGCAATTAACCGATCGCGAACGCCGTTTAATTAAGTTCGGAGCAATTAGCTAATGCATTTTTTTACCTGCATGGTCGCCGCTCCAGCACGCACACATACACACGCATACACACACACATACACACACACGCTTCCTCTGTGGCTCCTCACAAGTGAAAAGTTTTCTTGACTGCCTGCCCTCCCTCCTCTGTCCTCTCTCCTGTTCTCCCCCTCCCTTCATTCGCCCTCTCTCCTTCCCCTCTTCCCTCTAGTAAACAGACCACAGCTCCCCCCAAGGCTGATTGCTGACATTCAGAGGGGACGCACACGTACACTAAATCCCTTATATAACCCCGCACAGATTATTCATCTATGTTGAAACAAATAGTCCCTAATTATGTGGAGGGAAAACGACTGACTGATTAAATGGAAAAACAATATGTCGACGACGGAATTACGCGGAATGCCCTTTAATGTAAAGCCCTTCCTCGTTTTCAAATTAATGGTGAATAATAAATGAGCCCTCATTCTGCCAACTTGGATTTCCACTAAAAACTCCGACTTAATTAAAGCTTAATAACGGAGTTAGGACCGCAACGCCTCTGCCCCGCGCCTTCCGCACGAATTACGACATGTTTTTAATCAAACGATAGGTGTGGCGACTATGTGGAATAAATATTTATGAAGCGGTGGGGTGATTAAAACGGCACCATCTGTATTTATGCCCCTGCGCTGCAGGCGCGGAACATGATCACCCGAATACCATTATAGGTGCCCTGCGAAGCGCCGGAATAAAAATAAGTTTGCTAACGACTGAGAGCTGCAAAAGCAAACCGGTGTCCTGTTCTTGACGCCGAATAAACCGACTTGAAGCTTACAACTTGAGAAGGTATGTGCGGATCCGAAGTGATAATATTCAGGGTTATTTTGATTACTCTGTGGCTAAAATCGAAGATTTTGAGCCATAGTTTGTACATCGTTTGTGTCAGCAGCAGTTTGTGACAGGTGTGCTGCTATGTTATACAAAGCTAATCTGCAACAATAAAAGTAACTAAAACCCAAATTTTAAGAAAAATAAATGCTACAGACATTGGGGAAGCAGGGATTTTTTTATTTTAAAAAAGTAAAAGAAAATAATAAATAATAATAATTATAGTGACATACTATCCATCCATCCATATCCATGGGGGGGGGGGGGGGGGGGGGAACCAGTAGTGACATAATAGTTAAAGATAATAAAAAAACATAAAAATATCTAAATGCAAATTTCCCTAAAGAGTTGTTATGCATATGGCATAATTTTACACAAACACATTTCAGGGTAAACAATGATTTTACCTTTGAAGAAGGGTTAAACCAAGTTATAAATACTATTAATAAACAGTCTTAAATTATATTAATTTCATATAAGATTTTATCCATGTTTATCTCTATTGGACACCAGGTGAATCTGGACCCATAGGTTGGTAAATCTGTAGAAGTTTCAGGTCACTTTTTAGACTTGGAGTAAAAATACTTGATCAGTCTGATCTTATTTAAGTTTGATTCCCCTCCTGGAGACACTACTGCCATACAGACCATTTATTACCAGTTTATAATCCACACATCCAGGGCTGAGCTGTTGTGTTTGCAGTCAGAACCTTTGGTTCAGTGCTGATCTTATTTCAGATGAGTGTGGAAGTGGAAAGGAAGTTCTTGTTCAGTGATGACACCCTGAAAACCCTGGAGAGCATCGGAGGTGAGGGTTTGAAACTGATACCACAGATGCAAGAATTGCTGCAGCATCGTTTGTAATTAATGTATTAATCAGTTTGTGAAAAATGTGATTCCCTTTCCAGTTTGTGTAGGGGAGCATCAGTTTCACGACCAGTATTATGACACCCCAGAGTCTGAGCTGACCCTGAGGGACATGTGGCTACGGAAACGGAAAGGATGCTGGGAGCTCAAGTGCCCGACTTCCACCTCCTCCAGCGGGAGAGAGGAGCTGAGTGGAGAACAGTCTGTTGCAGCGGTGCTGTGTACATGTTACAAGGAGATAAACAATCTTCCTGAAATTTACCAGAGAGTGAGAGAGGTCCTGAAGGAGGCCGGCAAGGATGGAGAGCTGGAGGAAACCCCCTCACAGGGAGATGATTCCTGGCTGAGCAGACTCAACCTGTCTTGCTTTGCAGAGTACACAACAACACGGCGGTCATTCACTCTCAGGGAGGGGGGGGTGCAGATAGATCTGGACCAAGCTGACTTTGGGCATCATGTGGGGGAGCTCGAGGTTCTGGTACCAGAGGGAGGAGACGTGCAATCTGCTCAAGAGAAGATCACGGAAACAGCTCTCAAGCTCGGTGAGCCTTCAGAATTCCCTTTTTGACTTCCTGCGATGGGATTTTCCTTGGAATAACAAAGTTTTCCTCCTTTCACCTCCTCAGGTCTCACTGGAGATAAACAAGTTGAAGGGAAAATGAATGTTTTCCTGAAAAGATATCGCCCAGAGCAGTATGAAAAGCTGCTCAGAGCGCATGTTCTGTAGATGTGACGTTCTACAGATGTTTCTACTGCACACCAGAACATCTCATGGGGTTTATGGTGAGCAAACAAGAAAACTTCGATTAAAACGTCAGCATCTGCAGCTGGGAATGGGCTGCATGAACCCGATTTTGGCAAGTAGCAGAAGAGTTGAATCACAGATAAACAACAACAAGTGACAGATGATCCGAAACACTCCTGAGCATTTAGTAACAACAGAGCTGTCATGTTTACGTCACATTAATCATATAACAAGTCTTTTTGTGTGAATGGGTATTTGACTGATTGTGTTGTAAAGCGCCTTGGGAGGGGTCCCAAAACTCTAGAAGGTGCTATATCGTATTCAGGTCATTTACCATTTATTTTCTTACACAGTGAAACCTGATTGGATCAGGTTTCCTGCACATTTATTTGCTTTTGGCATCTTTCTGTTCACAAACGTAGTTTTTATTATAAATACAAGTAATGTGGATGAGTTGTAAGTAGCTATTCTAAAGTTTATTTTAATTATTACTTTTGAGTTTTTAGAAGGAAATTTTTTTATTTAATAATAACTATGTATACTGATCAATAAGGGAGATCAAAGATAAAAGAGTTTTAGTAAACAGTTGTGGTGTTATGTTTTCGGGAAGGTGTTTCTTATTGTTTTAATTGTCAACTACTGCATGACACATTTAACTCAAACTTATAATGTTAAGAATATGTTTGTTTTTATTGATTGACTTAAATAAAACATCTTTTTAATTATTTTTTTATTGTTTGATCATTTGCTGAACATTCATCATGTTTTTCTTTGTAATTTATTTCAGTACACTGGAGTGATATATATTACTATTTTATTACTATATTAAAATAAACTATTTTCTAGACTAATTATAATACATAACAAGCTATGAATAATGATGTGTGATGGAATGTGATTTTTATCAGAACCTTTGTATCTGGAAGAAACTGAGTTCTGGGTGTAAAAAGAATTTGTTGTCTGCTATAAACTAGAGAGTAGATGATTTATAGAACAGCATCGGAAACAATCCTGTTGGGTCTACGTACCCTTAGGAGAAACTCTTTAGGATCTGAGGTGTCCAAGATGTCAGGTGACCCCAAGGCATTGAGGGTCGTAGATTAAACGCAATGCGACCAGGTCAGTCCAGAGTCGTCTCCAGGTCACAACAGCATGAAGGTTGGTTGCGTCTAAGGATGGACTCTTAAGGAGTCTTACTGTGACAGCTTTGCAGTGTGCAAACAGGTTTTGACTGTGTGTCAAAGAGATGTTTCAAAAGAGGCTGGTTCCGGATTGGCCGCTCCGGAGTGTCAGCTGGAAACAAAACGTACTCAACTTGGGAAGTGATCAAAGTTTTTTTAATTCCTATGTTTTGATTTTCTGGCAAAGATGTAGCATACAGGAATGGTCATTTTTCATCTACAGTTTGACGTCTTCAGAATCCGGTCATCTACAGACATAATTCTGCCTCTGTGTGCCCTCTAATATTCCAAGCTGCAAGAAAGGTTCTACAGGGTTGTTGACATTGAGATTGTCAACAGTGTTCCCTTCACCAAGGTCTTTCTGCCAAGCCTGTCTGCTTATTTAGACTGTCCTGCAAAGAATAAAGGATCAAACCGTTATAAATAATGAACTTTTATAATAATGAATACTGAATGATGAAATGAAATACATAAAAAATTATATAAGTGTGAACAAGGGATTAAATTAAATGTTTTGATTAATCTCTGCCTAAATTAATAAGTTTGAAATGAATGTGTCCTTACAATGATACGTGTTGGAGCTATTTACTGTTGTTGGGTTATTTATTGGGTTTAGTTGTTGGTTAATGATGATTTTATTTATTTATTTTAGTTTTGCCTGTTCGAATCAGCCAGGAAGAAAAGAGGTGTTTTGTTTTCTATAAATATGGGGACTGGTGTTGGACCAGCAGGCACTGGGGTGGGCCTATAGTTTTTTAACAGAGCAGGAGAAGCAGCAGGAAATGGAGATGTATGTACTTTCCAAGTTGGATGAATAAACACCAAAACTATTCAACAGTTAAGATCGTTTGGACATTGGACTTCTTTTGCCTGCATACAAGACATCACTTCAGTGCAGCAGTGGCTTAAGGATTTAAAAACACTAAGGAAATTGGTTAGACAAACAAACAAGGAAATTGGTTGGAAAACCAAGGAATCGCCACTACAATCCGTTTGTTTTATAATCAGTCTACTTGACAAGTTCACACACGTGCATATCTCCATGACACAAGGGTACTGTAATGTCATGACACATAGAGATTTTCATATCCACAAAATCAGAGCATCTTCTATCTGAAGAAGGAGTGTTTCTGAGGTTTGTTTGGTAAAACCTCCTTTACATGGCATGTTGTGATTTGCCAGAAAATCATAACATAGGAATTAATAAAAGTCAGATCACTCTGTTTAATCACAAAAAAAATTTATCGCAATTTAAAAAAAATCTTGGATGAGGCTTTTCTGAATGGAGTTAGCCAACAAAGACTTTTCACATCTTCAATAACAATAAGCCATGGTTTACAGTGACGCTGAGCCAGTTGAGATGGGTAAAGGAGCAGGCATATAGGGCAGGAGACAGGCCTCTGTAGATATCACTCAGGAACACTTTGACTAAGAAGATCAGAGCTGCTAAAATTAAGTGTGCAGCAAAGCTGAAAGACCAGTTTTCAGCCAACAACCCCACATCATTGGAGAGGCATTCAGCACATTACCAACTACAAGAGACCATCTTTCCTTTCTGATCTAAGGAGCTTTGAAAGAAAAGCGTCTGGACTTCTTTGAGTTGCTTGAAGACGTTTCACCTCTCATCCGAGAGGCTTCTTCAGTTCTAAGGTCAAAAGGTGGAGAGTCCCAGATTCAAACCCAGTGGGAGTTTCCCCCCGAAGAGGGAACAAAAGACCCCCTGATGATCTTCTACATAAACACATGAGCCAAGGTGTGGGGGTGGGTGTGGGTCCTATTCAGCCAGAGTTTCGGGTGAGCTCATTGTGAAGCCTGGCCCCACCCTATCATGTGAATTCCTGAGGTCAGATGGATATGTGTGGGTGTTGAGGCATCTGGGAAGGGATCTCAAAACTGGATTATAGATGGCAGACAGTTGGTGTCGTAAACCACCGCCTCTGTTCAAAGATGGTTGCTCACAGTGGACATAAATGGCTTCCTTTACTCCTCTTTCAAACCATCTGTCCTCTCTGTCCAAAATGTGAACGTTAGCATCCTCGAAAGAGTGACCTTTGTCCTTTAGATGCAAATGAACTGCTGAGTCCTGTCCCGTGGAGGTGGCTCTTCTATGTTGTGCCATGCGCTTGTAAAGTGGCTGTTTGGTTTCTCCGATGTAGAGGTCTGGGCATTCCTCGCTGCACTGTACAGCATACACCACATTGTTCAGTTTGTGTTTAGGAGTTTTGTCTTTCAGGTGATCCAGTTTCTGCCTGAGTGTGTTGCTGGGTCTGAAGTACACTGGTATGTTGTGTTTGGAGAAAACCCTCCTGAGTTTCTCTGATACACCGGCTACATAGGGGATGACAAGGTTGTTGCGTCTGTCTTTTTTATCCTCCCTCGCTGGTGTCTGGTCTTCTTTTCTGTGCATCTTTTCTGACTTTATAAACGCCCAATTAGGATAGCCACATGTTTTAAGTGATTCCTTTATATGTGTGTGTTCCTCCTTTTTCCCTTCCGGCTTAGAGGGAACATGTTCCGCTTGGTGGTGTAGGGTCTTGATTACTCCAAGTTTGTGTTCCAGAGGGTGATGTGAGTCGAAGAGGAGGTACTGGTCCGTGTGTGTGGGCTTCCAGTACACTTCAATGTTGAGGTTGCCATTTTCTTCAAAGTGCACAGCGCAGTCCAGGAAAGGCAAGCAGTTGTCCTTTATGTTTTCCCTGGTGAACTTGATGTTTTTGTCCACGGCGTTGATGTGCGTAGTGAAGGATTCCACTTCTTGTGTTTTGATTTTGACCCAGGTGTCATCCACATATCTGTACCAGTGGCTGGGTGCTCTCCCTTTAAAAGAGCCAAGAGCCTTTCTTTCCACTTCCTCCATGTAAAGGTTGGCTGCAATAGGTGACACGGGGGAGCCCATGGCGCAGCCATGTTTGTCTGTAGAAACCTTCGTTGTATTTGAAATATGTAGTGGTGAGGCAGAGGTCTAACAGTGTGCAAATCTGATCGGGTGTGAAGTTGGTCCTGTCCTCCAAGGTGCTGTCTTCTTGTAGTCGTTTTCTGACAGTCTCCACTGCCTTCGTAGTGGGTATGCAAGTGAAGAGGGAAACTACGTCAAAGGACACCATGGTTTCATCTAGATCCAGGGTAAGTTTCTGGACCTTGTCAGTGAAGTCGTGGAGTTCTTGACGTGGTGTGGAGTGTTCCCCACCAGAGGTGCAAGGATGGTAGCAAGGTGTTTCGCAATGTTGTAGGTGACTGAATTTATGCTACTGACAATGAGTCTGAGAGGGATACCTTACTTGTGGATCTTGGGAAGTCCGTAGATGCAGGGTATGACATCTCCTGGATAAAGGCGGTGATATGTCAGGCGGTTGATGGTTTTGTCCCTTTCAAGGCCTTGAAGGCAAGCTATAACTTTCTTTTTGTAGCTGCTTGTGGGGTCTCGCTTTAAGGCTTCGTAGGTGTTGTTGTCAATGAGGAGAGTAGTGATCTGTGCGTGGTAGTCCGTTGTGTTTAGGACCATGGTGCACCTTCCCTTATCAGCTGGCAATATAGTGATGGTGTGGTCTTTGCTCAGTGATGCGACTGCCTTCTTTTCTAGTAACGTGAGGTTAGGCGGAGGGACTTTGGCACTGGAGAGGGTGGCTGAGACTTTCATCCTGATCTGTTCTGCTTCTGTCTGAGATAATTTGTTGATCCGTATGGCAGTTTCAGTGGCTGTGATGAGGTCCACTATGGGCAACTGTTGCGGAGCAATGGCAAAATTGAGTCCTGGCTAATACGTTCATTTCAGGTTCAGTGAGGTTCCGGTCTGAAAAGTTCTTCACCCATGTTCTTCGACTGTCCTCCGGTGTACGTTCTTCTCTGAGTTGTGTAGATTCAAACTGAGGAGTGAGTGTTTTTGAAAGCAGGGTGTGGAATTTCCTGCGTTGTCTTTCTTTTCATTTCTGATGCTAATCATGGCCTTGCTGAGGAGCTAAATGGCTTCTACTGTCGCTTTGAGGAAAGGAAATTTACACCCCTCCTCCACTCCAGTATAGCTGCAGCCACCTAGCCTGGCAAGCCAGACTAAATAAATGTATTATTTATTTTAGCAAACTTTGCAAAGCAAGAATTTGGTCTAGTTCAGTAGGCTAGCAGCCACCACCACTCACCTGGAAACACTTCTCCTCCCTCTGAACCACAAGCTACGTTCGTTGTGAATGAAGAGGATGTCTGCAACATCTTTAAGAGACAGAACGTACGGAAGGTGCCAGGCCCAGACGGAGTAACTCCTTCCTGTCTCAGGACCTGTGCTGTCCAATTGGCATCTGTCTTCACAATGATATTCAATAGATCACTGGAGCTGTGTGAGGTTCCATCATGCTTCAAAAGCTCCACAATCATTCCAGTACCTAAGAAATCCTCCACTACCGAATTGAATGACTATCAATCAATCAATCAATCGATCAATCGATCAATCAAAGTTTATTTATAAAGCGCCTTCCGCGACCCTGTCGGGAAGCTCAAGGCGCTGAACACAGTACATGAGAAATGTGAAATACGATGAATAAATCGATAATAAAAG